ATCTTTTGTACATGAGGCATGCCAGTTCACAGGCATCATCAATATAGTAAATTGCATATACGATTAGTAGGCATGTTTAATAACAATAATAATATAATAAAATGTACATGTATTCCCACCTATGTAGGACACACCAGTTGTACAGGCATGGATAAGTATCATTTAAATTACATTAATTTGGCCTGTGGTGAAATTACGTGGTTGTTGTCTGTTTTGTATTTGGTTTATGGGAACAATCTGCTAACCAGTCATTCAATGGAGCGCATCAGGAAATATAAGAATATTTTCTTCGCATTAACAAAAAGACCCAAATATGCTTTGGATGGATTACAAATACTTGGGGAAAAAATGAAGCTTTAAGTCATTCCTCCATGTAACTTTGGTGTGTGCGGCATCGAATCTTATTCTTGACTTATATCCAAATTGGGTACCAATTTAAAATGAGTGATTTATCTGTATAATTTTGACAGCAATTTCATTGTGATTGACACCAGGAGTGAATTGATTTCTATGCAGACTTATATTGGTCATTGCCGGGCAGATCTGTTTTACTGCGCCTAGGTCAGCGGCCATATGCTGCCACATGGTTGCTCAGTACTAATAAGTTGATTAACACGTAGACAGCTATTCATTAACCATATCATATCTTGGATGCTGCTTGTATAGAAGATGTCAATGTCCAGGTCTTACTACACGGGGCCTCACACGATCCTTAGAAGACTTTCAGGAACTATGCGCAATAACCAACGCAAAAATCCAGAACACAAATTGGTGAGCCAAGAACCGTGTATTCCTGAAACAATACAGAGCCTAACATTAGGATATTGTACACAAAGTTTCTGAGAGCTTTTCTCTATCAATCAACGAAAAGCGAACGACGAACAGACGGCTGCACTATCGATGATTCCCCCAAAACTAAAGAGTTAGGTTGGGGCAAACAACCATGAATTGATCGTTCAATCTTCAACTATATTGACACTCTGCGGTAGAAAACGGATCTATCCCTTTTTTCCATCACGACCAATACACGTTGATTTGGATGCCATTGAGAGAACCTGGGTGGCTGTCACGTCTCGTAAACCGTTAATGCTCAGCTCTTGCTATGCTCGAGCTCACGCTGTCGCTTGAATTTTCTCAGAAACGCTTAGTAATAACGGACGAAAAAACCAAAACACCAATTGTTAACTTGAGTATTCTGTATTGTTACACCAACATATATATCAAGTATGACTAAGGTCTGTGAACAAATATTACACTAATAAATCATAATATTACTTCTGACGATGTTTTACTCTTCTTTCTGAACAGGTGCTGATGAGACGATGACTGTCGTATTGATGCCTCCGCAAAAATTGGGGAAGTTCGGTTTGAGCAAACAACCATGAATTCATCGTTCAATCTTCAGCAACATTAACAAAGCTTTTGCACAGTTTAATGAGGATAAGTCAAGTGTAAACGAGAGAGTAATTGTTAAATTGACTTGCATGAATAAAGGCATTTCTAGTTTCAAGTTACTATTTGAATGCTATTATCTTTGGTGCAAATTACTCTGTGCCTACGCTTGGTTGACCAGATACGTCGTGTGTTTGTTCGTCATCTATATTCTACGATACAATGACACGAGCGTGTTACCGTTCAGATTTGAGGATATAGCTGATAGAGGGAAGTCAGCAAATGAACTCTGCGACGATTTACTAACCTAGGGCGTCAACCCGAGAAGGGTTGTAGGCGTACTTCTGTAAGTCCTACAATTCTTCAAAGGGTAGCGCATCAATGAGCAGTCCAACGTGCTTGGTGTGTGATTTTGTACATATGTTCATGTTGTATATACTGAATTGGTATCATCTCTTATTTATCTGTTGGTAATTTTGGTTGTGTCCGGACGACTTCCACTTGTATCATCAACCTGAGAAGGAATGTAGGCGTACTTCTGTGAGTCTTACATTTCTTCAAGGGTGGCTCATCAAAGCAGAATCCACAACATTTGATGTGTTGCTTGTACATATGTTTGTGTTAAGAAATTTAGTGGGTTCCAATTATTGTAATTATTGATTAATCTTGTTTGTGTCCTGACATTCCACAACTTACAATCGTTAACCTGAGAAGGGTTGCAGGCGTACTTGTGTTAGCCCTGCGATTCTTCAAAGGAATTCCATCAAGACATGAACTGCGAGTTTGTGTGTACTGTTTGTATATACGTGTGGTGTGTCATATCTATTGGTGTTTGTTGGATTCATTGTGTTTACTCGTTGTTTTCCTACCTTGTTTTTATTGCATAATTTTGTTAAAATTTTCGTCGTGATTACTTCTGAAGTTGTTTCTAGTCTTCTACATCCATGAATGAATTGATTGATGTTACAGACAGCAGATTGGGCGTATACGCCGGGGAGGCTAGGCTTTTGCTGAGAATGAAATGCACACGGATATAATTGTTAGCTGCGGTCCCACACACTGGGGAGAAAGAGTGTAAACGACTGAGGTTCGCATGCGTCAGTGCTACTAGAACTGAGGCAGAATGAGTGACAAGCGATTGCAGTGGTAATTGGTAGTGAGTACATACGAGCATGTGCGAAGAGTATCATGGGGTGCTTCTATGGTCACGTTGCGTTCTGCAAGAGTCATTCTAGCAAGTGGCGATTGTGTTGCACACCTTTAACTGGAAGGCGTAGTTCGTCATCGATGTGTGAGATTGTGCTGTGGGTACGCTTGTGGTGTGTTGGCTTTTCTGCTTGTTTTCAATTTCAGCTCTGTCCGTGTGACCTAGTTTTTCTCAATGGCATCCAAATCAACGTGTATTGGTCGTGATGGGAAAAAGGGATAGATCCGTTTTCTCCCGCAGAGTGTCAATATAGTTGAAGATTGAACGATCAATTCATGGTTGTTTGCCCCAACGTAACTCTTTATTTTTGGGGGAATCATCGATAGTGCAGCCGTCTGTTCGTCGTTCGCTTTTCGTTGATTGATAGAGAAAAGCTCTCAGAAACTTTGTGTACAATATACTAATGTTAGGCTCTGTATTGTTTCAGGAATGCACGGTTCTTGGCTCACCAATTTGTGTTCTGGATTTTTGCGTTGGTTATTGCGCATAGTTCCTGAAAGTCTTCTAAGGATCGTGTGAGGCCCCGTGTAGTAAGACCTGGACATTGACATCTTCTATACAAGCAGTATCCAAGATATAATATGGTTAATGAATAGCTGTCTACGTGTTAATCAACTTATTAGTACTGAGCAACCATGTGGCAGCATATGGCCGCTGACCTGGCGCAGTAAAACAGATATGCCCGGCAATGACCGATATAAGTCTGCATAGAAATCAATTCACTCCTGGTGTCAATCACGATGAAATTGCTGTCAAAATTATACAGATAAATCACTCATTTTAAATTGGTACCCAATTTGGATATAAGTCAAGAATAAGATTCGATGCCGCACACACCAAAGTTATATGGAGGAATGACTTAAAGCTTCATTTTTTCCCCAAGTATTTGTAATCCATCCAAAGCATATTTGGGTCTTTTTGTTAATGCGAAGAAAATATTCTTATATTTCCTGATGCGCTCCACTGAATGACTGGTTAGCAGATTGTTCCCATAAACCAAATACAAAACAGACAACAACCACGTAATTTCACCACAGGCCGAATTAATGTAATTTAAATGATACTTATCCATGCCTGTACAACTGGTGTGTCCTACATAGGTGGGAATACATGTACATTTTATTATATTATTATTGTTATTAAACATGCCTACTAATCGTATATGCAATTTACTATATTGATGATGCCTGTGAACTGGCATGCCTCATGTATAAAAGATGGGAATGTATTATTGTTATTATTAAGAGTGTAAGGGAAAAGAAAATTACAGCTTTATGTGGTATGATAAATCCCTAAGAGTGAATGCATCTACACCATCATCCAGAATGATTTTGAGCCATATCACAAACTGTCTCCAGCCATTGGTTTTCACCATCACAAGGACCCCAACCAGGAAGCTAGTCTACACCTCCCACAGGTGGCCGGCCTAAACTAACTGCTATGGATTTCACTGACTGATGACATGTTCTGGTTTGACCACCAATGGCTTTTTTCCAACTTGATCAATCCAATGTCGGCTAACATTGTCCGTCGGTCGAGTGAGGGGATGGCTAGGTATGAGTAACACGTGTCCTAACCATCTCAATTGGTGCAACCTCATAACCTCGTCGATTGATTTCCCCTTCTTACCTAGCAGTCGACCAACGCCTAACCTTAATATTGCTCACTCTACTACACCACCTATTAGAGGGGATGTAACGCAGCCACTTATGATGAAAGACAGCTAGCCTTTTCACGTCTTCCGATTTCAGTGACTATTTCTAGCAGCCATAGAGGAGGATGGAATGAACTTGTGAGCAGTACACATTCTTTTGGTCGCCAGCCACCCAGGTATTACGTCTACACCAGAGACAGCGTAAGTTGGCGAGTGCGAAACTAGCCTTTTTACCCGTGCTGAAACTTCGTTAGCCATCAACCCGTTGCGGTTGATGCAACTCTCCAAATAAGTGAAGTGGTCAGCACGCTCAGACACCACATCACTCTCTATCTTGAAACCAGGAGTAAATGCAAAATTTCACTTAAAATTTCGAAAAAATTCAGGTGCCATTAAACCATCACTCTTCTGCACTACAACTTATGGGCATATACAACAAATCCCCTCTTACCAAAGACCAGAAACCTTTATCTCAGAACCAAGAAGCTAGGAGAAAGTATTCAGTTTGGTTCACACTATTTCGTAAAAATGACACTGGAGTGGATACACTAATGGCTCAATCGTATGTTCGTGGCAAACCCATTTTCGTCGAGTCAATTTTCTATCTCACGAAAGCTTGAGAGTGACAAACAAGGATATGAACCACAAGTGATTAACACCGAAAGCTTCTATTTCCAAAATAAAAAATCTATGGATTTATTTATTTTAGTGCACAAGACCTTGGTTATTTGAGAATCTAACAGGCGTATTTTCAAAAGTAGTCGTTACTCATTATGTACAGCTGTGGGCTGTGTAATTGTACTTTTGAGACTGAAAAGGTATGTAAGTAGTGGACTTAATCGGTTGCATTCTACAGGAAAGCTATGAACATGACATAAGTGACAAACACCATAGGAAATTCGAGGAAACTGAAAAGTTTTATGGACGTCAGGCGTAAGTGGATTACGTCAGTACACATTTAATGACTGTTTGGTATAGGCGTCACTTTTGTTCAATATGCAATTGTGGGAATATACAAGGAATTACTTGTTGGCACAACCATACTCGTGGAGCTCGTCATAGAAACAGTCTGATATCACTCTATGAGTGTTATGGAGAAAAGTAAGCTAATGAAATTGTCAAATTGTTCCAGTCGTATTGTTAGCTGATATGCGTATCACATATGTTGCCCCCAAGAATCCTCTATTACAGGCAGTAGTAATAATGTTGGTAATATGTAAACTGACGATGTAATTAGTTTATACTTTCATCATGTAAACTCGGGTATGTCATTGAAAAAGTGCCAGTTAGTCATCTTCGGCTAAGTAAGAACGACCAAGAGGATTGTGATAATGAACTGGGCGGATATAACTGCTTAGAAATCCAATAGATAATTTGATATGAATAAGTGTTTTGCGAACTCATTAAATGAGTGAATGCAAGGACATTTACAAACCAGATTGAACGGATAGAGGTTTTGACCACCTGCTTGATCTTATTATGTGCTACAAAACAGCATTAATTTGGTTAGTTGGTAGTATTCTTTAAGTAAGACAGGCAAGTCAATCAGGGAGGTACAGAATCTTCATCGTCTGAGGTGAGAGGAGTGTGTGTTATACACGTGCAGCTGCTCTTATTCTCAGTCATTGACGTTGGTTAAAGTAGGTTTAGACTGGAAGAGTCTGATAGCCAGACCAAAACACGCTACCACCTCATTAAGTTTTTGACTGGTGGATTGTATTGGCTGGGTAGGTGTATGTTTTCGGCCGTGGATCTTCCAATGCGAATAACGAGTGACTGAAGACGTGTCACAGAATCCTTCACAATGGCACAAATGTACTGAATTCTTATCCTTCTTAGAATTCTGCTAATCTTCAACAGTCATTATTTTATTACTGTCATAGCTACCACACTTTTATTTGTTCGTTGTAGTATCCTTTCCACTCCATTCTTTTGTATGGCTTAGAAGTCTGGAAAGTAGAACTGATGCACTTCTATGCATCGTCAGTTAGTGTTGTAAATTCTTCCGACAGCGTATTAATTAGGTTTCTCAGAACCTCCAGAATATTTATTGTACTCTCAGTCTTTGGTATGAATTTAAAGAGATGTTTAAAGACGCAGAAGATATGTTGGAGACTGACAATTTTCTATCTTGGCTTCAATTGTCATTAATTCATGTTAAATCTAACTGTATGCAGTCGTGCGTGTAATTAAGTGTAAGTAAATAATATAAGTAGTTTAAACACTTGCTACTCTGTCTTTTGAGGTTCCATCGTTGTGAGTTGTTGCTGACATTTTTTATCAGTCAGTGTAGCTGTTTACGATATTCTTTTGTAGCTATTATCAACTGATTTGTTTTTCAGAGGGCCAGATGTAAATGTAGAAAGTTCAACGCAATCAAGTCGTAATGGATTCAAACCAGGTAGGTTTTGTCATGTTCACTAATCCTTTAATATATTTTTCATCATCTGTTTGTTTTTCCTTTCATTCTCTGTTTGTCATGTAACAACAGAAGAAATATACGTACTATGCATCCTCAACTTGCTGGCTGTCTTTTTCACCTAATGTATAGAGTAATCTTGCGTAATGTGTTTTGTAGTCATTATTGACGTCGGTGGCGCAGTGGTTAGGACTGTCGCCGATCATGCACATGGTCCGGAGTTCGGTTCTCTGCCGACGCACGCCTGATATCTATGGTCGGCCTGAAAAATTCGGGCTACCGATATCACATGCTGAAAATTCCATGCTTGTACCAAAAATACAGTGTGGAATCAGGCTATAATACAAAATAAAAAAAATAAATAAAATTTTATTGTTCAACAGAAGTGAACTGAATTACCAGTGTAGGACATTGCACAAAGTTGATTTCAAAGTGACACACTTCGTAGCACATTAAGGAACCCAGCTAAGTAGTCTACAGGTATTGTGATATAAACCTATTGTCAAAGACTTCGTAGATTGACGCCATATTTTATTCTCACCATTTGGAACTTCTCTCCAGCTTGGTCCCACTTAAACTAGCATCGCTCGTCAAAGTAGGCAGTCAACCTCGCAAGTGAACTGTTAACAGTCGAGGGTACGCGCATCTAGGTAGTTATGCAAACGTTGTTCCTGCAGAAACACCATCATCATTCACTGAAAATGCAGGTATATCCAGCCAACGAGTCCTAAATAGGACGAGTTCCGCTGCTAGTCACCGTGACTCAAAATAACTCCACAACATTTTGACTATATTTCTCTTTTGTATACCCATGTGATAAAGTACTTATTCTCTACGTATATAAGGTCTTATTTTTAAAAATTTTTCGATTAAATCTTCCTATGCTGTGTTTAACTTCATGAGTGCAGTTAATCATGCATACCAACAGGTTATAATTTGTGCCAACTTAGTTACGATGAGTGATGCTTGAATCTTGAAAAGACGAATGAACCAAGAATTTAGGCTTTATTCATTTCACAATGAAGCCGGAATGGCTTAAACGTATAGAGGGAAAAAAGAGTGTTAATAGCGGTAGAGATATGAATATGATTAGATACGTATTATAAGAAAAGTTCACAACATTCACTGCGGCTTGAAAAGGAATGAGCCATTATGTCACGCTTCTCTGGTACGCAAATTGTAAGGCCGTACACGTTGTTGTTTTTCCGAAAGAATGCGCCCGTTGTTCGTTTCAGTTGTATTTTCTTCACGAAGAATATTAGGATCAGGGGTCGCATCCCCATTTACTTGTTGCTCAGGAATTGCGTCGCCCTCCGGTATTGAATTTTCAACTTGATCTATATCTTCGCCTTTGGATGCCAGATGATGAAGAGCAACTGTATCTTCACGTCCATTACCGAAGCGAACGTGAGCGAATTGCGGGTTACAATTCAATAGCTCCACCTCTTCAACCAGGGGATCGAATTTGGACTGACGAACACTCCGCCGGAGAAGTACTGGTCCTGGTGTAACAACAGAAGACAAGGGCCAGGCAACAGATCGTTTTATTATGAAAATCAACACGTATTTATACATATTTCACATACATTATTATAGCTTATGCAAGTAGACAAGCGCAGTTATCTGATTGGTTGTTTATCAGAAGTTAGTCAGACAAACGCAGGCTTCTGATTGGTTGTTTCGGGATTCCTCGACAATTAGAGTTCTCTATTTGCGAATCATATTTTGCCACGTTAACTTTGCTGTGATTGGTTGTTGAATCAGCCTTGCTCATATTTTCTCACGGCCTGCTCTCACCACACTCGTCCCCCCGTCAAATACGTGCGACTGAAGTCGGCTTGATCTACTTGGTGCAGGCGTCATCGTTGGCTTGTCTCGCTGTATCCATTTCTGGAGCTCGCTGACGTTCACGCGCCTCTCATTGTTCGTCATTGCGATTGTGTCCGCGTAATCCCATCTCGAAGTGACCATATGTGGTCCTTCCCACTTTGGAAACTGTTTGCCTGACCCTGTCGAACATTCGTCAGTATTTCGTCTCACACTTTCATATGCTGCTTTCACCCGACCTCCCAGCAGCGTCCCAAGTAGCAGCTCCATCGCTGACAGATCTTGAACGCCACTCAACTGCGCAGAAGCCTTGAAGTCCTGCCCGGAGATCCATATGTCTCCATCAGAAACAGCAGGGCATATGCTTTCCATTTGTCGGTAGGCAGCGACACCAAATGTAACAACAGAAGACAAGGGCCAGGCAACAGATCGTTTTATTATGAAAATCAACACGTATTTATACATATTTCACATACATTATTATAGCTTATGCAAGTAGACAAGCGCAGTTATCTGATTGGTTGTTTATCAGAAGTTAGTCAGACAAACGCAGGCTTCTGATTGGTTGTTTCGGGATTCCTCGACAATTAGAGTTCTCTATTTGCGAATCATATTTTGCCACGTTAACTTTGCTGTGATTGGTTGTTGAATCAGCCTTGCTCATATTTTCTCACGGCCTGCTCTCACCACACTGGTACAGTGAGCCAAGTAGGAGGAGTTGTCCCAGATGTCGATCTCCGGTTATAGGTAAACAGTCGTTCGTGTGGCGTGGCGTTCGTTGCAGTACAGAGCAAAGATCTGATGGAATGCAAGGCGTCGAGTAGAACAGACTCCCATTGTGCCGTTGGTAGACCCCGTGATCTTAATGCTAGAGTGATGGCACGCCAAAGTGTTCCATTGAGGCGCTCGACCTGCCCATTGGCTTGAGGATTGTATGAGGTAGTACGACTGGTTGCTACGCCTTTCTCCAGAAGAAATGCCCGTAATTCGATAGACATGAAAGCAGCGCCTCTGTCGGTATGTATGTAAGAAGGCATACCGAAAATCGAAAACAGTTGGCAAAGGCAATTCATTACCGTTTGAGACGACATGTCGGGGCAGGCGAATGCAAAGGGGAATCGAGAATATTCATCGATCAGCGTGAGCAGATAGTGATTGCGGCTAGCTGACGGTAGAGGTCCTTTAAAGTCGATGCTTAACCTTTCAAAAGGTTGGGTTGCTTTTATGAGTTTGAAATTAGAGGGATTGTAAAAGTGAGGCTTTAACTCACAGCATGTCACGCATTTACTGGTTACATTGCGCACCTCGTCAAGGGAGAATGGGAGGTTTCTCGAGCGTACAAAATGCATCATTCGAACAACTCCAGGATGGCACATAGAGTCATGGAGAAATTTCAAGTCGCACACTGACTGCAAGGAACCGCAGAAACTACGGGAAAATGTATCAGCAGCTTGATTATCCCTTCCAGGACGATAAATGATGTCATATTGATAAGTGGATAGCTCAATTCTCCAACGCATTATTTTATCGTTTTTGATTTTGCCTTTATGAATCTTGTCAAACATGAATGCTACTGAACGTTGATCAGTGACAAGTTTGAAGTGATTTCCGAGAAGGTAATGCTTCCACTTACGAATTGCTTCAACCACGGCATAGGCTTCTTTCTCAACCGATGAATGATGTTTCTCACTTCGAGAGAGGCTTCGAGAAAAGAAGGCGACAGGTTTACCATTCTGGTTTAATGTAGCTGCAGTTGAGACATCTGAAGCATCTGTTTCAACAACAAGGGGTGCTTTCGGATCAACTACCACAATGACTGCACGTTCTAAGTCGTCTTTCAGTTTGTCAAAAGCATTTCGAGTTTCGATATCAAGAGGGAAAATCCGATTATTTACTAATGGGTGGATTTTATCTGAGAAGCGAGGGATCCACTGTGAATAATAAGCAAATAATCCAACGGCTCGTTGTTGAGATTTGATATCTGTGGGTGGTTCTAGATCACGAAGAGGTTTTAGCCGATCGGGATCTGGTTTAATAACCCTCTTTGAAACTTCTTAACCGAGTAATTGTATGCTTCTGCTTGAGATCACACTCTTGGAATCATTAAGGGTTATTCCATAATTGCGTGCTGCTACCATAAACTTGTTTAGATTTTTGTCGTGTTCCTCCTGAGTTTTGCCGCAGATAGTGACATTGTCAATGTAGGCAAACGTGCTTGTGAGTTGTTCTTTACTGATCAATTCATCGATGATGCGTTGAAAACAAGCTACGCCATTGGTAACACCAAAAGGAATTCGGCAAAATTGGTAAAGTTTACCACAAGCCTCGAAAGCAGTATATGGTTTATCTTCGTTCCTTAGGGCAATTTGATGATAAGCATTCTTCAGATCAAGAGTGCTGAATATGTCATATTGTGCGATTTTTTCTATCATTTCGTCAATGGGTAAGCATCCAGAAAAGTGAATTGATTGATTGTCTGACTATAATCAACTACCATCCTCTTTTTATGGCGTTCGTTTGACGTAACAAGAACTTGAGCTCGCCAAGGAGAATTAGAAGGTTCAATAACGCCTTCTTGCAGTAACCGGTTGACTTCGGTGGAAACAAAACTTTCATCTTTACAAGAAGAACTCCGGGAATTACCGCGATCGGTTTACAGTCTTTTGAAAGATTTTCAAACAGAGTAGGCAGGTCGAATATGTAGTTTCGAAGGATTTTCGGATCCCATTGATTCAATGAAGCAGGAAAAAGTCGCAAACCAGTGATTTCACTTCTTGGCAGCTCTAACTGCGTTAGGTTCTACGTCGAACCGATCAGGTCGGTAAAATCGCTCTATGAATATTGTAAAATGAATAAATTGTTACGAAGGTGATTGAGTCTTAGAACGATGAGTGATGCTTGAATCTTGAAAAGACGAATGAACCAAGAATTTAGGCTTTATTCATTTCACAATGAAGCCTGAATGGCTTAAACGTATAGAGGGAAAAAAGAGTGTTAATAGCGGTAGAGATATGAATATGATTAGATACGTATTATAAGAAAGGTTTACAACACATATATTCCCAACTGACACTACATAGTACAGTTTTGTTAATACAATATAGTTCTTTATATACCGTGAAGTTGTTTAGTTGGCATCTAAACGCTTAGTAGCTATGATTGAACAAAAAATTAATGCTGTATAAATGCTGTAAAACGAGTTTATTACGTCTCTCGCCCAATACATAGTGCTAATCAAGTTTTCGCAATCATTACGGGCAAGTAGTCAACCATTTCTTGTTTGTTTTCAGTGTTTGTCTGTTCACACAATAGACGCTTTGCTGTCACGATGTTTTATCATGCATGAAGCTTTTAATTACCTTTATATTGATGTGAAAATAATTTCAAAAGCTAATAAAGCTACTGGAGTTCCTTTTTTTCTCAATGTTAATATTCCACTTTTTGCCAAGTTGTTATTATAAAGTAAAACACATTTCCAACTTGTCTTTCTTTTCGACACTTCTCAAACTATGTAGTTCAAAAACATGCTCCAGGCAGTAGTAACTCTCAAACATATTCTGGGAAACGTTCATCACATGATGTTTATCAATCTTCGTCAGATATCAAACGTGATAAGTTTAGTTCTCCTATGCAGCCTACCAAAAAGTCAAAAGTTATCAATACTTCAGACGCACAAGAAGGTGGAATGATGTTAAACATAGTAAGTTGACGCTTTAAAACCAGTGACAGTAAAGTGAATCTATTTTAAAAACTTCATGCAATCCTTCCTATTAATAAACTTGAAAAAAGCAAGAACAACAATTGTACCAGGATAATTTGAGCTCATCTTTTATTATTTAATCGAGGATTCTTCTCAACTGGTTACAACCTGAACGTTAAAAATATAAATTACATTAAAGATATGAACATACTTTTCCACGATCATAAGGAGTAATTGGTAGGAATTAAAAGTAACATTAGTCCGGAATGATTTAACTGATTAGGAGTTACAATCACTGACTATTTATAGAATAATTAGACAATTAGGCTTGGAAACAAAAAAAACAGGGTTGCGTATATATGTGTGTGTACAGAAACAAGGTTTAGCTAGAAAGAGCATGACAAAAAAGTAGATTGCGTAACTAAAGAAAACGTCTTATCTAATAGCCAATAGAAAAAAGGATAGAAGAAACGAGGTAGGGTGAGTTATGTTTAGATGAGAGAGTAGAGTTTTCTAAACATGAGTCACCTTATCCATGAATTATGCTCTTTCTAGCTAAATCTTGTTTCTATACACACACATATATATATAAGCAACGTTTTTTTATCCAAGTCTGATTGTCTAATTATTCTATAAATAGTTAAATCATTCCGGACTAATGTTACTTTTAATTCCTACCGAGTCTATTTTACGTGGAAATTTTTCACTGTTATAGTAATTATATTATTATTATAATTCCCTTGGTTTCCTAGTGAAACTGTACGGTTTACTCAATATATGCTTCACTCTACTCAGTCCTGTACAGTCTCTTTTAGCTGGCTCTACGACTATGTATTGTTTCACTGCCGTTTTCATCTCCTCATCACACGATCCTCTCTATGTCACCCTCAGATGCACACTCAGATCGTCTTTTCTCATTCGGGTTCCATTTGAGCTTAGCGTATGGTGTCACTCCACAGTCTCTCCGGCGTATTTTGCGTCCATTTCCTTCTATATATTTGTTAGGCACTGGATTCTTGGTTGGTTAGTTGGCAGACTTCTTCATTGCTTTCCCTTTGTAGTCATGTAATCTTCTATACCGAGCAAAGGCGGTTAGGCGTTGGTGGACCTATGTAATGAAATGCTTTTCGACAAATGCGCACCAAATCTCTAAACCGATATATAGAAGTAATAATTTGACATTAATGGTAGAAATTCAAATCTTTTTCCTGATACTAAGTGCTGCAAATTTCCACCCTGATTTTAGAGTACTGAAGGTCTGTTTTTGATTCTCTGATCTGCACATAGCAATTGTTACTTTCATTTATGATGAACAGTAAAAGTTTTAAATTCTGACTATATTTGTATTACTTTTACTTTTCATGTAATTAGTACATATAGAGAATATAATTTTCACCATTCTGTATTACAGTTGGAAACTATTCATAAAGACTCACCTACTCCTCGAAAAAATGGTAAACAAGCTCAAAAGATAAACACTGTCAGTCCAAAAACTAAAAATTCAAATATCTGTAAACAATCAGCAGAAACATCAAAGGGTAAACAAAACAATAAGATGTGTACTCCTGTTAAAACAAAAACTGTAAAAAATAAACGAATTCCTGAATGCTGTGAAGTAACTAGTCATCCAATAACTCCTGAAAACCGATCTGAAGTCAGCTCAAAAGTTGAAGATATAAGTAAAAGTCAAGAATTACTGTGTATGGAAAAGGCGTTAATTATTTCTCAAGAATTACAATCACTTAAAATAAAACAAGATGAATTGGAGGAGAAATTACAAAATACAGAAGCTGAATTGAATCTGGTAAGCAGAGAATGTTTCTTTTTTTCATCTGTGTTAGTTTTTCTTTCCCTCTCTTCCTTATGTTTCTTTTGTTTTGTGTCCCTTTGTTACTCAAAACTTGTAGATCAATTCAAATTTCTCTGTTCTTTAGCCCAGTGGCTAACTAAAATAGGGACTGTTGCCTTTAACCACTAATAAATAAGTAAAGTGTTTTGATTTGACACTAGTAACTAGTGTGATGCGTCTAGTCCTCTGATTGGTGTAGACTGAATTCTATCAGTCAGGTTGTAATGTGACCACCATTCTAGCTAGCTCGCCATCACGGTGCACATTGATTTGATGGTATTAGATGGTTGTAGGTAATTGGCAGGAAGCCTTGGACCTAGGTTTCGTGCTAGTTGGCACTCATCAGCAAGGCAAGGGACATGAGTTCCTTCCAGGTTGCAGATACGCCTTGCTGAGGAGTGCCAACTAGCACGAAACCTATGTCCAAGGCTTCCTACCGATTGCTGGTTAGGACTCTCGCCGACCATGCACATGGTCCGAGGTTCGAGCCCACGCCGACGCACACCTGATATCTATGGTTGGCCTGCGAATTTTGGGCTACCGATATCCATGCTGAAAATTCCACACTTGTACCAAAAATACGGTGTGGAATCAAGCTGTAACCATAAAAAAAAAAATAAGATAACACGCTCAAATTCTCAGCTTGCAGTTTATACAATTTGAGGTGAAATTTAACCACAGTTTACCATGGAAACCGAAATTACTCAGATCATAATATATGATCAAAGAAAGCAAGCACAAATACTTAACGCCATATACTACTGAATAATTGGTGTGATGAGTAATTGGACACCACTCACATCTGTCTGTCTGTTTTCGACATAGAACTTTGCACATATGTGCGTCAGTTCAAGTCGCCACTGGGGGGAAGGCAAGGTAATATAGATGAAGATGAAGACAAAGATGAGTGAGGATTAGAGAGGTTTTGTGTGCGTTTTGGATTGTGAGGCCACACTCCATGTAGCACACAAAGTAAGAGAAGAAAGTACAAGAAAGGCATAATAAAGACAGTAAACAGAGGTGTGAGACAAAGGAATAGTAGTAACGAAGAACAACATAGTTTAATTGGAAGTCATAAGTCACAGGGAGTGGATGCATCTGCGCCACTGAGAACGATTTTGAGCCATGTCACCAATTGTTTGCAACCATTGATTTTTACCGTCCCGAGGACCCCAGCCTGGAAGTCTACACCTTCCTACATGGCTTAGACTAACTCTTGTAGATTTCATTGACTGGTGCCATGTTTTTGTTTGACCTCCACTAGCTTTTTTCCAGCCTGACCCTGTATACGCTAACATTGCTCGTCGAGGAAGGCGACCACTCACATCAGTTAGCAAGTAGCGTTTGCTATTCAGCCAGATCGAAGTGATCCAGATACCGGACAACCGTTTCACTCGTTCGGTGCCGAGTAGTTTGAACTGGCTTGGCTTTCTAGTCTGAGTGAAACTGGGCACCGTCAGTGACCTTGGTACCAAACAAGTGAAACGACCATTCGGTGTTTAGGTTATTTCGATCTAGTACGCCAACAAGCAATACTTATTGGTTGATGTGAGCGAAATCTAACTTACTCATGTCAGCCAGTCAGTAGCATGCGCATATAGCTTCAAGATAACAAGAGTTTATTACAGGAGACATTTAAAATCCGACATATGAACTGTCTAATCTCGGCATTTGGGAGTCTGTTAGAGTTGGTAAATGTATGTTTTTTATTTTTAAAATTTTTATTCCTTCACGTTCCTAGTGGGACATAGGGTTTAAAGCGAGAGCTTTAAAGTTTCACTTGCAGTGGTATTTATTTTTACGGGACGGGGTCGCCTAACCTTTCTTCACAAGTCGTATTAGCGAGTTAAAGGACTACGTCGTCCGGGGATCGAATCCCGCGAACCACATGCGTGGTTAGTTGGCGAGCATTCTACCATTGTGACACTGACGCACGGTAAATGTATGTAATTGTAGTTAAATAGAGATGTTCTTTAGTATATTTCTGCCCTCAAACATAACTGTATCGGAAATAAATTTTTCACGTTTCAGATTAGTATTTAACTTGTAGTTTGTGTTGCTTAAATCTACATGTTTTCATAAACTGAATAAAAATGAAGTGTTAATCTACAACCATTTGTAATTCCTATGCAGTTGGCAATGAGCGACACCTATTGTGTTTTCGGGGGCTAGCAATACTACCTGGCTGGCTACCTTTCAAACATTGGTAGATGCAGCGGTGTTCAGATCCTTGGCTCACTGGTTTCAGGTTAAACGTCTAGACCAGTATGCCACAGGTGCATATTTGATAAATTATTGCAAAGTGAAGTATCATTTAGGCTAATCTCCTTCCACTAGTGTCATTTGAAGTAGAAATTTACAGTGATCAAATCATTTGTAACAATAATGCAACAAGAGTCAAAGAGTGTAAGACCGATAGATATTTTTATCAAATAGTAATTGGTAAAGTAAACCTTCGGTCGTTCCTTGCTCTATTATCTATTCCAATCAACAACAGAAGACTAAATGTCTTACTCCGTTAAGTATTTGCTTCGTTTTTTTCCATTCCTTTCGCGTTCCGAACGAAAAATTGGTGCTTCTCAAGCTTAAGCTTCGAAATTTCAGTAGCGATGGTGCCCATTTTTACGGAGTAGGTTTTTTAAATTCATGCTCAACTTCCCTTCTTTAGCTGGCATATTACCGGCTAGGCGAGGTTTAACAGTGTGTGGACTGTGGCATTGGTTGGCAAGCATTCTACTACTAAGACCACCAATGCTCTTAGTTCAAATGTAGGTTCTACTGGTTTCATAAACATGTGGCTGATAGACTTTTATATCTCAAGCAATGTAACTATTACTGCAAGACTTTGCTAATGAATTGAATTACAATGATGCGTAGTTGCTAGTGAATTTAGACAAAACGAGGTACAAAACCAGTGCCTGTTGTGCAGATAGGTGCTTGCAATATTTTCATATAAATCTTGGAAATCTTATCATTTTGTTTTAAGTTTGACCCCAGATCAATACCAGTTAGAGAACTATTGAAAACCAGCTGAGAATACTGGACAGCCAGCTGTTTCGTCTTAGTTTGGGGCCCATCGGTAGTATACACCCGAAGGAGTTTGAACCCAGGAACCACCGGTTACAAGGCGAGCAAGCCCGCATACCATTCAGCCACTGGGAACCGGTTCGATAGCTCATGGATCCCAACTTATACCTCTTCGTGATTTTACTGCGACTGACGCCAGTCAGTGTTGTCCGTGGCGAGTATTTGTCCTCACTCCCGACTGGATAGACTCCACTGGTCATGATATCTAACTAGGACTCCAGGCAACTTCATCCTGTAACCAGCTACTCCTTTATTTTCAATGGTTCTGTAACTAATGTCGATCCTTGGTCAAACTTGAAACTAATCAGATTCCTACAAACTAACTTTTATCATTTTTTTTCACAATACACTTTCCATCCCTTTTTTGTTGAATCGCCTTTAATGACTCCTGATGTTATTTCTTCTATTTCATTATCTTCTTGTTGGCTTCTTTATATGCTGATATTATAAAGTACCGTTAAGTTTGACAAGTAGTTAATGTATTTTTCTCAAGTATACTCTTGCTTTCACCGAGTTCACATTCATAATCGTACTCCTTTCGAATTATAATTTAGGTTAGATCCAAAAGACGCGAGTTGAAACAACAACGATCCAGTCTTTTAAAAGGTAGGTGTTAGATATTTTATTAACACGAAATACCCTATATCTATTTTTAATGTAAAGAGTTATCATCTCATTTTCTGATTTCTGTAAAAAAAATAGACAATTCATTTCATCATTTTGATACACTGTTTCTGGGCAATTTTACTAATTGATAGTATAAGAGTTTCAATGTAGATTTTCTTCACCAATATCATTGGTTGGCAATAGAGCTGTATCCTGAATTTTTCAGAATTTAAAATTCACTGTTCATTGAATTCCAACCCCAGTAGCTAAATGGTCAATGAATTCGGCATCATAACCTCAATGGTTCTGGGTTCAAACCCTAACAGTGGGTGTCATAGGCACACACCGCTGAAGAGTCACAGACTAGGATGAGGTGGCTGTTCAGTGCTCTTTGGTTTTCAGTGATTCACTAACTGATTTTGGTTCATGATTAAACTGACGAAACTGAAATTAATCCAAATCCCTACGGAACCCGAAATTTAGTTACTGTTATAACTGAAACCCAAGTATTTTGGTATGTACTCAGGAAAACATTCGACGCGTTCTTCTTCTGTATGACTGACCAGACTTCTACGAATGACTCAGTAACAAAATATCCCGACAATAGTAAAAAGACAGTTATATGCAATAAAATCTATGGAGACTGTTGCTATTTTGAAGTCGTCAAATGAATCATATAGCCATCCTTAATCTTCTCCTGTCGTGTCTTCATCCGTAAGAATCTGCCCAGCGGCGTTTCAAACACTTTCGATGCTTCTTACAGTTCCTTAAATGAACAGAAACTGGGCACGGAAACATTTTTCTCCTCTTAGGAGCTTTTATCCGCAAACTGAAAGCAGGCATCAAAAACAGCGCTGTCTGGCTAGCAGAGTCATGCGATTCGCTATAGTCATCATCAAACAAGGAAGTTTCATTAGTACTTTTCTACAGTCTCAGCAAGTCCAACTCTTTTAGAAGACGTCTCATTTCTGACTTCTGTCTGTCTCAAAACTCGCTAAACTCTAATTCTTGTTTCTCCCTTAACCCATCCAAGGCCATCCTAGAGCTAGTCTTAACATGATCTGTAACTAAATTTGAGTGAGAGCCGAAACATGAAAATGCTTCAAAAGGGACTTACAGTGTTTCTGAAAGTACGTCCCACGGCGTCATATTCTTCTTGTTCACAGCTGCTTCCGTAACCATCTACTTTGTGCGTTTGCTAAGCATATCGTACGGTGAATTTGTTAACAGCCATTGTAATAATGTTTGACACTGCCTATAAGACACAGTAGAATTCACTATTGAATAATATAGCTTATTAGAAGACACCAAATTACTTTTTTATTCTACACCTTTTGTTAGAATTATCTAACTTTGAGTATACTAGACATAATTGTTCAGCGTACACATATCCAGGAATGCGTTTAGTAAGTCCTTAACATGTTTATTCCCCATTAAGTAGTTTTATGTATGTATTAAGCTACTAAGGGGAATATTCACCACTCAGCTTTTCATCATGATATTAAATTTTCAGTGATAGGAGATAGATTTACAGACAGTACAGAAGACTGAGTCCTCCAAGATGGTTTACTTTCTCAGTGGATAGAAATTGGAAGCTGAAATATTTTTCAGAGCTTTAGTTATAGAAGTGCAAAGATTTTTTTCAAATATCCATTAAGTTTTTTCATTAGTTCATAGTGTATTAAGAGAAAAGGACTGCTTATAGTGTTGCTGCCTTGCATTATAAGTGTTTGTGTGTATATGTATCTTCCACACTCTCCTGTTTACTATCATTCTTATTATTAAAACAAAATTGGTACATTATGGGAACCAAGAGATGTGTGATATACACAGTCTCGTGGTTTGTACGCTGACTGCTATACTATCCGCACACTCAGACCGAAGCAGATGGTTCTCATAAGGAGCAGCCACCCCACCGCTTTTGACTGCAAGTCTTATCCACAGGGCAGTGGAGCAGTGTTAGGAGCTAGGTTCTTATGGTTTCTGATAACCAAAACAGGTCCCAATTCTGGAGACCATGTACACCACCATAGGTTTGGAATCAGATTTTTCCAACTCCCCTACTACGTAGACGTGCATGTCCACCAGGCCGGTTGGGATTCATGGGTCATTGGATCGAGTCCCTGTGCCTTAATGGTCTACGAGCCTGCCTTGTAACCAGAAGGTCCTAGGTTCGAACCCTGGTGGGGGTTGCGTGCTCATGAAAAGCCGCATACTAGGGTGAAACAGATGGCTGTCCACTTCTCCCTGTAGGTTTTCCATTGGTTTTCTAATTGATGTCAGCTCATGATGAAATCCTGAAAATAATTAATCAAATCCCTACTAACCAGTACTTATATATATATATATATGATAGACTGTGTTTGGGGCATCCTTGGGATGTTCATAAGAACCAGTGTCTTGAGACTTATTGGTATTATGGCTTAATATCGTAAATGCATCCACTCTTCGTAATCTCCCCATATCCGTTGAATCATCATGTTTTCTCATATGGTTATTCTTTCTCCTGTACTTCTGTGCAAAGTTCTCTGTTGAAACTCAGTCAACCAGTCAGTGTGGTTATGACCCTTCAGTTATTTTAAAAAAAAAATCATAAATTAAGTTTCAGATAATCTGGTGTATCCACTTGAACTTTTATAGCTTTTAGAAACCATTGAGTTTAGTTTCTTAGAGAAATTTTCGTTTCTGATTTTACTGTTGTAAGATAAATAGAAATAGTAAAAACAAACTCAACTTATTTTATTTAGCAGTTAGAATTGTACATATTTAGTAAGTTGTGTAAGGTCAGTGATAATTAAAGTGATGACACACTCATGCTTTCATATCGTCTCATACATATACAGTTTAATAACTAAGGCAGTATTAAAGTCAAGAAGGGCCAGTTAAGCTATAAGGTTGTCAACCTGATTTAAATCACGTAGTCGGATTCCGGGGCGGGTTTAAACAACTTGACTCTCCAAACTGTTTAATTTCACCATTGATGTACTATTGGAATTAATCTTAACTGACTTCAGTGACTTAAGCATTGAATTGCTACTAGTAGAATAGTCTTGTTGACTTCGAATATGCGGATGATTTAGTCCTCCTAGATGAAGGCGCTGATAGATTGCAGAGTTTTCTGAACACCTTGAGTTGCAATCTTTGCATGTTCGGCATGCCATTCGCACTTACTGTCAAATGTAAGATGATGATGCTGCAGAACTGGAGTGCACTGAGTTTCATTAGCCCTAATGGAGTGATCGCTGACAAAGTCTCAGCATGGATATGAAAGTCTCATATGAGATTTGCTAACTTACACTATCTCTGGCGTAGATGTGATATCCGGTTAGCTATCGACCAAAGGACGTGTGTAATGCTCAGCAGTTCTCTCTGTACTCCTTAATGGCTGTGAGACATGGTTATTGAAAGTGGAAGATACGAAAAGGTTAGCTATCTTCGATCATAGGTTTCTATTTTCTATCTCTCATGTTAGATTGTATAATAGGGTGAGTAGTATGTAGGTTAGGCGTCGAGTGTCAAGTAAGGAGAGAAAGCCAATCGATAAGGTTGTAAAGCTACATCGACTGAGATAGTTGGGACATGTGTTACGTATGTCTAGCCATCTCCTTCCTCGACACGCTATGTTAAATGACGTAGCATTAGTTTGGGAAAGATCTAGTAGTAGTCAAAGGAATACATAGCATCGGCCAGTCAAATCCACAACAGTTCGCTTAAGCCAGCCGCGTCGGGAGGTGCAGACTTTTCTGGTTGGGGTCCTCGGGATGGTAAAATCCAATGAAGGCTGGAGACAATTGGTGATATGGTTCAAAGTCGTCCTCAGTGGCGCCGATAAATTGACTCTATGATCTTCCATATCTATTAAACCCCAATCTTTATCCTTGTCACTATTCTCCTTCCCCCGACACTGTTTTCAGGCAGTTTTACTAATTAATCTTCCTTTTTGTTCCCGTGGAGTGTGGCAAGTGGAACTGTTGTACTTCTGTGCGAAGTCCTGTGCTGAAACCAATCAGTCAGTCAGTCAAACAAACTGAATACGGTATCACAACTTATCCTTGATTTTATGATCTAACAAACAGAATAACTTCCTGGCTAATAAAAGCCCTTACAGTCAGCTGAACAGCCCTGCTGTTCTTGTGTGTTCATCAAACTCGCCTTTCTTAAGAACCGTTACGAGATAAAATGACTGCAACACCTATTGCTTTAGGTATGCTACTGTACCAGGAAAATTTACAGAGAAATGATGTGGCGAAAAAACTAGTTAGCTTCACATTATACTTTCCAAAATAGTAAAATTATGGTCCGGATTTTCAACTCCAATGTAAAATCAGTGCTTCTATACGGATCAGAGACTTGGCGAGTCATAAGGAGCATCTCAAACAAACTTCAGACCTTCATCAACAGCTGTCTTCGCTCAATACTCAAGATCAGATGGCCAGAAAAGATCAGCAACAAAGATCTCTGGGAGCGAACCAACCAGGAACCGATTGTGAAACAAATAGGCAGGAAGAAATGGAATGGATTGGTCACACCCTGAGGAAACCAAGCGACATCACTAGACAAGCCCTCGAGTGGAACCAGAAAGGGAAACGGCGAGTTGGTCGTCCAAGGGTGACTTGGAGGAGGTCATGCGAGGAGGAGATGAAAGCATGTGGGCAGACTTGAAGCGGAGTGAGAAAGTTAGCAGAAAACCGAAGGCAATGGAGGTGCGCAGCTGAAGCCCTATGTTCCTCTAGGAACTAAAGGATATAATAATAATATAATAATATGGTCCACCTGGCGATGGCGAAGGATTACTTATCGAGTCGTTTTTACTTTGCATTTAAATTGTGATATTATATGACGGATAATATTTTGTAAGTGTCAGACAGTATAGGAATTAGCTATCATCCTTCTTAACCTAAATATTATTATAGTTATTCATACAGTTCCGAATTACATAGTGGCAAAAGATTTGGTTATTTTTTTACATGCTCTTACATATGGGCATATTTTGTTTTACCAGAAACTGGCTTTATATTTGGCTGGTTTCGGTCTGGATAGAGAAATCAAACAAATTCATTTCAGGATTTCATTATGAGTTGACGCTGGTTAGAGAACCTGGGGGAAATAGACAGCTGTTTCGTCAGCCTAGTTTGGGACTCTTAATCAGCACGCACCCACCGGGGTTCGAACCCAGGACCTTGCGGTTACAAGGCGAGCTCGTAGACCATTAAGCCACAGGGACCCGATCCACTGGCCCATATTATTAAAACTTTCGCTGAAGATGTTGTGTACAAGGACAATAAAAGCTTCACAACCATAAAACAACCAGTTCAGAGGGCAGAATTAATTCAAAACAGAATAGTCTTTTGATTTTTTTTATTTGAATTTGATTAATGGTAAACCTTCTTCACTTTTTAAAGTTAGTTTTTGTCTTCATTAACACAGGTCTTAATCATTCCGACTCTGATGTTGAAAGTCATGCAGATAGTTCACGTTCTGAGGTAACAGATACCCGACAGAATGTTGCTTTACCAATTCAAAAACCAAGTGTTAAAGCTGTTGCGTCTATAGCTCCTTTAGATACATTTATGAATACAATACAATCATCTGATGATAGCACTATTTGTTCGAATAAGTCAAAGATGATTAACAGACAACCAATCGATGAACCTTTACCTTCAACTTCATATGCTACAGGAAACAGAGGACAATTTGGTAAATTTTTTTTTGGTTGTGTATTCAGATACACATTTTTCTGTGATCGTTTTTCACAAACTCTGCTGGTCGCAATGTAGATTGATAATAAAATCACTAACGGAGTAGAATCAACTGATTAATGGTTTAAAAGTCTAACCTGTAACTATCTTCCTGTTATAAACAGATTTCGAACAACAACAACAACAACACCAGCAACAACAACCACATCAACACCAACAACATCAAAGAAATATTCCCACCTCCTCACCAGTAGCTCCAGAAACTACTTTCAATATTCCTTCAACCTCTGGAATCTCGAACACTCCTACTCCTATACTACCTCAACAACCAATCTCTGATCCTCATAATTCTCTACCTGTCAATTCTACCTCAAATGCTGTTGATTTGGAACGCTTGGCTTTAATTCGTCAAGCTCTTCAATCCCCTGATAGTTGGCAGTTTACCTTTGATGAAGTTGATCAAATGTTGAAACAAGCAGCAGCAAAAGCCTCTGCTAATAGTGCATCTCATCGTACTACTGAAGTACCACAACAGCCTACTCAGACAAGTTCGAGAACAGATCCATCAGGTCCTAGTAATGGTATGTTCATCATTCTTGTGTATTTCAACATGAAGTTTTCTGACTTTTTACCTTTCGAGAACTTTCTTCATTATTTGTGTGTTTGTTTCGTTCCCTGTTTATTACAGATACAATAACATCTGTACCCATAAAAGCAGAACCAACTGTCTATACAACATCAGAAGCGAATGAACCATCGGAACATCTGTCTACAAATCACACCACTGTCACCAAACCCAATGTGTCTAGTGCTCCTACTCCGTCTTGTCTGCCTCAAATAACCTCTGTACACTGTGTTCAACCTCCAGGTGAAACGATAAAAACAAATCACTCTTCATCTTCTTCTTTCACGTCATCAGATGAGGAAACGTCTAATACACATACACGGACAGCACATGATAAAAGTCAGATTTCATATCCTTTAAAAACTCAAACAGAAACTGATACTTCTAGTCAAACAGACATAAAATTGTCTACTTACTCAGGTTCGATGTCATCATCATCATCTAAGGGTGGGATTAAAATTGGTGAATTTCATGCATTCAATGGGTGTACATCAGCTGTTATCGACATGGTTGTTCATCCAAGCACACAGGTGCTTTATATTGGTGGACAAAATGGAACAATTGTGGAGTGTGATCTTAAGGTAGGTATATAAAAATGTAAAATTTTATACTTCATATTAGTTCAAATTTCGTGTTACGCATAACTCATATTTTATGTGATGAGATTTATTCTTGGTTGGCGGCATACTCTTTTCACATGAACAAATTTATGAATGCATTAGATATTTTATCCTGTTGATATAAAATTATTATTCGCATGCCGCTTTGATTTAACACTAGGGTAGTAGTAAGTAAATAGTGTCATGAGTCTTGTCCTTTGTTTTGGTTCTAACTGAATTATATTGTCAGTCAAATTTGCAATGCGGCCATCGTGCTAGGTATGTAGGGCTCGCTATCACGATGCACTCCGAATTGTTGTTATTAGAGGATTGTAGGCAGTCGGGAGAAGGAAGACGTGGACTCTTAGGTTTCGTGTTTAGTGGCATTTACCAGTCAGCAAAGTTTATTTGCAACCTCCAAGGAATTCATCTCCCCCATGAGATTCGACCCCCTGTCAGCCAGTGCTAAAATCAGAGACGTTACCACTGAGCTATTCGGACTGTCTGCCTGTCTGTTTTCAAAAAAGAACTTTGCACCGATGTACGGCAGTTCAAGTCGTAACACTCCCTCATGTAGCACACAAAGCAAGAGAAGTTAGAAGAAATTGTTATGTACTCGTCGAGTAGTTAATAGTCCTGACGCGGAAAGAGGGAAATGAGAAGACCACTAGGTTTACGATGGTACTCGTATTTTCCAGACAAGGAAAATAAATGTCACACAAGAGTGTGAGTGAAATGGTACGAAATGTATGAATTGTGTGTACAAGAATAATAAAGCAAAAGTATATATGAAAATGGCTAATACACATGAACCAATAAATAGCCAGTCTTAACATGATTGGTTGTAATGTCATGTGACAACGTCCTACATGTTCATTTAGTTAGTGGACAGACAAAAACATATTGTCAGTTATAATAGAATATCGATCCATATACACATACCAAAATATAACAGACTGTCAAAAGCAAAACACATCATGTGGATGCATATCAGAAATGCATAATAGAGACAGTACACAGACGTGTGAGACAAAAGAGTAGTAATAACGAAGAACGAAACAGTTTCATCGGAAATTATGGGTCACAGGGAGTGGATGCATCTGCGCCGTTGAAACGATTTTGAGCCATGTCACCAATAGTTTCCAACCATTGGTTTTTACTGTCCCGAGGACTCCAACCAGTCAGGTAGTCTACACCTTCCTACATGGCTTAGACTAACTGTTGTAGATTTCATTGACTAGTGGCATGTTTTGATTTGACCTCCGCTAGCTCTTTTCCAGCCTGACCCTGTATCCGTGTTATGTACTGGTCGAGAATTTAATAGTCCTGACGCGAGAAAGACAGAAATCAGAAGACCACTAGGTTTGCGATGATACTTCTATTTTCCAAACACAAAATGTCACACAAGAGTGTGAGAGCAAAAATATGAATGTCCGAATAAGTGTGTGAACGAATATTCAAAATGAACAAATCAATAGACAGTCTTAACATGATTGGCTAATTATAATGGAGTATCGATCCATATATACATAGAAAAATATAACAGACTGTCAAACAAACACACATATTATATGGATATATATCAATCCGCTAACATTGCTCGTCGAGGAAGGCGACGACTAGGCATGCGTAACACATGTCCTAACCATCTCAGTCTTTGTAACTTCACAACTTCGTCGATTGACTTCCTCTCCCACCTACCTAGAACTCGACGCCTAACCTCAATATTGCTCACCTTATTATGCCACTTTACACGGGAGATGGAACGGAGGCACCTATGATCAAAGACAGCTAATCTTTTCATATATTCCACTATCAATGGCCAGGTCTCACAGGCATAAAGGAGGACGGAACGGACTGATGAGCAGTTCACACGCCCTTCGGTCGATAACCAGCCGGATATCACGTCTACTCCAGAGACGGAGTAAACTGGCATATGTGAAACTAGCCCTCTGTATCCGTTGTGAGATTTCGTCAGCTGATGGTACTTCCCAAATAAGTGAAGCGGTCGACGTGCTCTAACACTTCACTTCCTATTTCTAAACTAGGAGTCGGTGTAGTCCAGTCCTGTAACATCATCTTACATTTGGCAGGAGCTAATCGCATGCCAAACATCCGTAGATTGCAGCTCAAGGTGTTCAGAAGACTGCTCTATTTTGTCAGCGTCCTCGCCTAGAAGGACTATATAGTCTACATATTCTAAATCAACGAGATTATTCCCTGGTAGCAAGTCAATCCCTGAGTCGCTGAAGTCACTTAGGGTTAAGTCCATTAGTACATCTATGATGAAATTGAATAGAAATGGGGATAATGGGCATCCCTGACGGACACCACTTCAAGTGACAACTCGCCGTAAGCCCTCACCTGGCTACATGAGTTCGAGTAGAGCTATTCGGACTGGCAATTGTGACTTCCTGTAGAGAGTGTATTGGATACTTTGATTGACACTAGGTGGTAAGTAACTAGTGCAGACTGAATACTACCAGTCAAGTTTGAATTTCCTCCAAGATTGCAGATAGTCCTTGCTGATGAGTCCTAGGTCAGGTAGGACTTTCTACCGATTACCTCCAACCATCTAATAACAACAATTCAGAGTGCACTGTGATGGCGAGCCACCGACTTAGCATGATGTCCACATTGCAAACTTGACTGGCCATAGAATTCAATCTGCCATAACACTAGTCCCTTACCGCCTAGTGTGTTGTCAAAAAATTTAATACCTTATTGATAATTTCGAAAGCTGTTTTTTTCATGCCAGTTTTGTGATTCATATCTAGTGTTTCACTATAGACAAATTTTAGTAATCTGCCACTTGCATTGATGATGACAATAAAATATTGACGGATAGACACTTGTCGAAAACGAGATATCCTTTGAAGTTTTTTAATCTGTATAGAGATCAGTTAATTTCAAAGCATACAGTTTATTTTGTCCTAAAGAAAGATGTCCACATCAAATTACCGTACAATAGGGGAAATAAGTTGTAGAATTGTAAGGCGGAGACTAAACTCAGTCATCTGGAAAACTTGCTATGTAGCCCGGCGTATAATTATTGAAAAAGTCAAAAACATGCTGTGCTACAAGCCTCAACATTGCACAAGTGATGGTTATGTCACATCCCCCATACCATATACCAGTTTACTTGGGGATGTGCGTGTGTTTGGTTACGTGAGGATGGAAGAACACATACCCAAATGTAATTGAATTTGCGATTTTCCTGTCGATTGATTGGACCGAACTGCTGGGTCTCAGGTTGACATGTCGGCTTCTTGTGCAAATGCTTCGACGATGTCTGAGCATATAGTTAGTATTTAATTGGTGGATGGTGACTAGCAGTAGAATCCAGGATGCGCATTTCGTCCTATTTAGGATTCGTCAGCTTGATGTGCCTGCATTTCTCAGTAAGTGAGACTCGAACCCAGTGCCCATAGTTTCAAACGCCAAAGCGTTATCCACTAGACCACTTGGGCCACGAGAGCCATTCAATTAAATGAATATGACCCGTTGCACAAGAGGTGGCTCTCGTGGTCCAAGTGGTCTAGTGGATAACGCTTTGGCGTTTGAAACTATGGGCACTGGGTTTGGAGCCTCAGTGGGAACATCATCACTAACTGAGAAATGCAGTACATCCAGCCGATGACTCCCAAATAAGACGAAATGCACATCCTGGATTCCACTGCTAGTCACCATCCACCAATTACATACAATAATGGCTAAAAAAACAAGTGAATTGTGAAACCTCGATAAACGCAGGTGGCAGACTATCATCTTCGTCCATAGCAAAACACTTAATTGAAAGGAATCACAAGATTAGTATCAAGACTGTTTTCAAGATTATTTACAAAAATACTGAAATACACACAGATGATGGCTGTCCATAAAATTAAACCCTCCTTCTTGTGTGTTATACTTTAATAATAAAAGTTTTTTTTGACATAAAGGTAAAAAAGTTGACTGAACATATAATTTCAAATAAGTTCTAACCGTATATTATGTCGTTAGGCAACGTGCTAATGTATATGTGTATGTGAATCTCTGGATTTTAGGGAAGACAGCTAAAGAGGAAAATCTCTAGTTCCCTAAAAGAGACTTTTTTTGCAGCAACGCAACGAGTGATATTCTCTATCCTCCCACTGTTTCTAAGCAATGTGAAGGACAAACTTCCGAATATAACCACTCCTCTAATGTGCATATATCAATTCACCAGCTCGTGTGGATCTAGGTACATAGATCCTTTCAAAATGCGTAAGTGACTATTACCCAGTATAGCTACAAAGAGGCGGCACTGGCTCAGTCAGAAGCGCTATAATTGCATATCTCGTCAGCACAGCATCTCAACTAACTAATCATTCAGAGTAAACAAAAATCTACTAAAGGCAGTGTGTTTCTGACTTTTTTTGTACTGCAGAAGCCCTCGTCCTTTCTATCGGAGAGCCGGAGTTAGGTATTCAAAAGAAACTTGTCCAACCTTCACCTGTATCATGGATCTAATTCGGTTTGATACCTTAGTTTTCGTTTTTTTTGTTTATTTTTATTTCCTTCATTTTTTATATTTTCAGTTATAAAAACTATTATTTCAATTTGTTTCCATGCTCATCCCGTTCACACTCTGTATTCGTAAAAAAAAAGCTACTTAACATATGACGCGACTATTTTCTAATCTTGTGTAGTTTTGCTTCTAAGGCCCGTGTAATCTATATTCACACCTTTGAACTTTCATATCAGTTCGAAAATTAATATCACCTTTATTGTCCCTTCGTGATTATGTGGAATTATATAATAATAATTATATCTATGCAAACTGATGTATACAAACGCGATTGAACAACTGATTTTGGGAGTGAAATAGCTTAATGATCTACGAGCTCGCCTTGTCACCGCAAAGTCCTAGGTTTGAACCCCGGTGGGTACGCACTCTGAAGAGTCTCAAACTAGGACGAAACAACCGGCTATCCAGTACTCCCTGGTGGTTTTCAATGGTTTTCTAACCGATGTCAGTTCCACGACGAAATCCTGTCACCGAAAAGAGATATCTGTTTGCTGAACTTGTTTTCTCTCTAGTGTTAACACGTTAACAAATGTCTATGAATACTATATACCTAGATTAATATTTTTTTAACCTGTTGTCCTGTTGATTTTTTTCGTTTTGTCACTTATTAGACTCATCAGTGTATAACTAAACTCCCTCTTAGAGATGCAAGTATTACCCGATTGTGTTTAGATCCTAAAGGCGAATCCATACACGTTGGTTATTATGATCAGTATTTTGCTGATTACAGTTTATCAGTGAGTGAATGATTTTTCACATTACTTTTTTTTTCTTTCTTTTTGTCTCACGTATTCCCTGTTTAACAAGTTTTATAATGTTGGTTCATGATGATTAACAGTGGAATCCAGAATGTGCATTTTGTGTCCTGTGTTTGGGACTTGTCAGTTCGATGCACCTACACTGCCAGTGAGTGAATGATGGTTTCTTCACTAAGACTCGAACCATGTACCCATCGTTTCAAATGCCAAAGCGTTATCGACTAGGCTACTTAGGCCATGAGAGCCACATCTTGCTCAACGTCTATCCGTTATTATTGTTATTATTTATTTTTGATTAGTAATGTTAGGTGAAAACCCTTGATCTCTCTTAACATGTATTAGCTCTTGGTTCGAATACTTCGACTATATCTGAGGTTTAACATGATATTATATAGCTGATGGCGGCTAGTAGCAGTGGAATTCAAGAGGCACATTTCGACCACTACTAGTCATCATCAACTAAAATAATAACATCACTTTAATCCTGAGGTACTGACGAACCGTCCTTACTAGGAACCTGTGTGTCTATAGAGACTGAACATTTCGGTTCAACATGATAATCAATCAAAAACAAATCAAAACTAATACACGTTCAAAAAAAGGTGAGTCTGATGGCTTAGCGGATAACCCTTTGGTGCGTCGGTTGTGCAGCGTTAGAATGCTATCCATCTAAGCCACAAGTGGTTAGGGGTTCGATTGCACACCAATACAGTCTTAAACCTTTCTTAGCTGGTAGTAAGCTCGGTGAAAAAGAGAGAAGGTTGGATATCAGGAGGCTAGCAACCCCACCCCCGTGAAAAAAATAACACCAGCTCTACTGAAACTTCAGAGCTCAAGCTTGAAGCCCTATGTTCTACTCGGAACACCAAGGAACAGAATTTAAAAAAAATGTTTATACAGTTCAATGTTTCATTGTGTACAGAACTCTGAGTTGACTGAGTTAATCTAAGGAGATAATATGGAAATTGTATTAGGGATTTTAGCTGTGTTCCTACTGGATTGGTATTTTAGTTATATAGCGGAACAAATTTACCTCTATCACTTTCGTTTCCACCTGCTTGAGAATGTGTAGAACACAGAGGCGGTCAATTGCCTCTTGATGAATTTACCCAGGCAGTTGATTTTATGTGACTTCCTAATACTTGCGTAGAAGAGTGCGGTTTAGTCATATCAAAAAGTGCTATTGACTATTCTGAAGGCGTTTTATCGTTGTACTTACTCAACAACCACTTGGAATGAATTCCTTACGGTCGACAATTAGCCGCATATCTGTTGTGTTTGTGTGTGTGTGTGTAGGGGTTAGTGGTATACTACCACCGAAACCTCGGTAGGTGGAGCGGGATTTGAATCAGAGGCTCACTGGTTGAAAGATTTCTAATGGAGCATAATATTAGAGCTGTGTCTCGATAATTCATAAGTAGGGGTATTTCTAAAATCTACTATTGGTCGTATGGGGTAACCTGGCTTATGTATTTTAATAGTACCATACATACTACTAGCATTAATAGTTTTAGGCATTAAATTAAACCATTTTGGCTCACCCAGTGACGGCTTCATTCGGCGTATTAGTTCTGCTGTAGATTTCTTAACCTTATTCATTATTGTGTCTACAGGCTTCTTAATTTCTTCATATGGACCCGTTTGAATATTTTCAGTAACTTTTTTGATATAGCCAGACTCATCCAGAACTACGGTGGCGTTTCCTTTGTCCGCTTTTGCGATGACAATATTTTTATCCTGTTTTAGACTAATTAAAGCTTCTCTTTCCAATTTTGTTAAGTTTGATTTTGCCTTCTTTTGGGTTAATGCACATTGTGCTTGAACCTCTTCTGCTGTTGTCTTATCTATTGAACCTAGTGCTACTTCTATACAAGGAATGTCAACCTCTGGTTTTAATTTATTAACTATTACGTTGAAATTTAGTCCTTTCTCGAGTACTTTTATCTCACTAGAGCTTAGTTCCCTTGATGAGAGGTTGATCACCTATTTTGTTCTGTCAACAGAAGATGAAACTCTGACGCCAGTTTCATTTGTTGCGTTCTTTTCTTCCATCATTTTGTTGAATTTTTTGATTTGTGTGACTTTTGATTTTCTTAAGGCTGATTCTCTAGCTTTTTCGGACGTTTCAACAACGATTGCATAATCTTTGTCATTGACCATACATTTGAGTTTCTGTTTGAGTTTTTCGATTTCATTTCGAATATTATTTAGTTTCACAGTAATTCGATGTAGTTCTTCTCTTAGACATAATCTACTGAGATGTTCAGCTGCTGATGATATTTTCCTTGAAGTAATTGGAGTGTGTATTCGTAAATATTTTGGAATTATATGATTTTTTAAACATGGACTATTGAAAATCCGATGGTTTGTGAATCTTGCTTCTGTTTGAGAAAGTCGTGTGAGTTTATTGCCCAAGTCTTATACTTATATCACTGGTTGAAAGTCGAGTGCCTAGACCGATGAGCTACATCACTATACAACTGGAGTGTCTGTCGTAGCGTTTGTTATGATATGCGTTGCAAACATCTTGGAAATACTGTTATTATCACCTAAATGTATTAACGGCACGCTAAAGGAGTAAACGAGTAAAGTTAAATGCTGCAGTTAAAATTAATGCAAACCGCCGCATTTTTCAAAATATATTATTTAATTTTTGACCTTAGGAGTCTGCCCTCTATCTCCCGTACTAGATGGTGTAATGCAATGAGTAATATTGAGGCTAAACACCGACTTTTATGTATGAATGATAAGTCGGTCGATAAAGTTGTGAAACTACATCGATTAAGATAGCTGAAACATGTCTAGCTATCGCCTTCCTTTTGACACACAATGTTAACTGACATAGGATAGATCAGGTTGGGAAAAAGCTAGTGTTGTTTAAACTAAAACAGTAGTATCAGTTCATTAAATCTTTGATAGTTAATTTGAGCCAGTCACTTGAGGAGTAGGGAATCTAAGAATCAATATCTGGAGACAATTAGTGATATGACTTAATATCTGTCTCGGTGTTGCAGATGCATTCATTCTCTGTGACCTCTTAGATCCATTGAACTCTATTATTTTTCCGTATTACTATTCTTTCACCTGTATATGTCTGCTTATTATCGTTCTTTTGAATGCCTTTTTCTCGCTTTTGTATTCCTGTGTGTGCAGAATGGAGTGTGGCAAGTTGAACTGGTGCACTTCTGTGTAAAATCCTATGTTGAAACCAATCAGTCAATCGGACAGTGTATCATTATTCCAAGTGATTATATATAGGGTTGGCAAAGTCAACCATTGTATATCGGTACTTAATTTTATGTTTTATATTTTATTGTTTATTCTTTTGTAGACTGGTCTCTTAGTGCATAAAAACGTTTTCTCCAGTCGTATTGAAGCAATGGCAGCTGCTCCATCACCTGATATACCATTTATATTTTTGGGTCTATTCGGTGGTGATATACTACGCTATAACTTTAAGACACATGCAATTGGTTTTCTTTGTCGACATACATCTAGTTATCATCAATCAGAATCTAGAGTTAATAAAACAGATGATGTAGAACAGACAACAGGTAGATCTCAGTCGAATGAACCAGCTGGTGTCACTTCACTCTGTCTTGTTCAATCTGGAACCTCTTTGTTGTTAATTATTGGTGGCTTAGTAAGTTTTGTCATTTTTTTTTACTTAAGTAATACTTATAAATGTATAAGCTGATGAAGCTTTTCTTATGTGAGTACTAGTCTTCACTTCTTCACTTTCACTTGGAATCCTACCAAAAAGGAGACCGATGTGAAGAAAGGTATTTTCCTTTTTATACCAGTGACTACACTTTCTCCTTTTCGGAACCTACTTCTTTATAAATGACCTAAGTAGACAGACTTGGTCTTCCTCTCGAAATCCTGTTATATGTGGCCACACATTCACAGCCTTTTCTAGGTAAAGTCCTATTCACTATCTTCACACAGCTGGGGTATTCCTCACAACAGCGAAGCTGGTGAATTCGAATATCTGGTGCTTAGAAGCTGACTGACTGAATGACTTCTGGATATGCTGGTCTACCTACTTAGGGGAGCTAAAACCCATGATTCCAAAACTATAGTGGTGTACATAATCCCCGGAATCCGTAAGGATCAAATGGTATATGAACCTGTTTTGGACATCTGAAACCATTGGGATATTACCCTCGTGATACTGTTCCCTGCATTGTGGATCAAACTTCAAGTCGAAGGCTCGGCGGGGGGGTAGTGGTCCCCTAACATAACCACTTGATTCAGTCGGGGTGTTCAGACAGTAGTATCTTAACCCCCTTCCCCCACAAATTATGAGATTTTGTGTGGGGCGTCTTTTTGGCTTCCATGATATACCGAGTTTGTATTTTTTAATCATAGTAATAATTGGACCCTGAAGTTCATGTGCACTATAGGTCTGTCGGATGATGAGTGCCAGACATTTGCAACCATTGTTTCAAGCCCCTTTATCAAGTGAAAGCAGTATGATAGAAATCACCCTGCATTGTCTTTAAACGCCATGACCTCATGATAGTATTTTGAAGCAAAGATTGAAGTCTGCTCATCCCTGCTTGACTTTATACATCGGTGTTCCGTATAGCATATTACATTAACTTATACGAAGCTTTTAAATCTCATTGTTAATCAATGGCCAGTGGTAAAATCTTAGGGGAATATAGAATAAGTTTTGTATAATACTTTGTATAATAATGAAATACTACTACTTTTAAAAGATTTTATGAATTAAGTAAGTCAGTATGTTCTTATGTCCTTAATGCAAATTCTGCTAAAGAGACCAATTGTCTTCACTTTTTATACTGAATTTTAGGATCGGTCAATTTCTATCGTTTCAGCTAGTAATGGAAATTTAATATCTTCGATACAAAGTTGTAAACAAAAAGGACCTCCTCAGGGGATTTCCAGTCTTCCTATCGGCTCTTTCTTTTCTTCTTTTTCTGATCGTTCAATTCGTATTTATAACTGGAAGGTAATTCAGAAATTCTTGTGTTAATTAATTAATTAATCCGAGTGTATTGATTTTTTGATTATCTTTCTATTATTAATATTAATATCATCATTTATTGTCATTTTCCATTCATATACACCACCATTAGATTAGGTTAAAAAAGGGGTTAGGTTCGGCCTTTACCGAAACGTGGTATCAGTCCATGAAGACTTTGACAGTCGGTTTTATCCATGTAGAGGAAGGTGTAGGCTGTCTAGTCTAGCTGTTCTAAGGATGCTAACAACTAATGACTTGATACGGCTCAAATCGTTCTCAGTGGCTCACATTCGTTCTCACTCCTTTTATTCCTCATTATTCACTAAACCGTCATGTTTTTTCCACATTTCTGTTCATTAGATCATACTTCTAGGAATCAGTCCTATAGTACGTATCACCAGGATGTCAAACAAACTTGATCCTAGCTAACCTTTGCGCTCCCTGACCGTGCACATCATCCGGGGTTCGATCCCCCGGCCGACGCAGACCTGATATCAATGGTCGGCCTGCAGAATTTGGGCTACCGATATCACACGCTGACTATTCCATACTTGTGCCTAAATACTGTGTGGAATCAAGCCATAATAAAATAAAATGAAGAATAAATTGCCACTCAAAATTCTGTTTATTATAGTCCTTTTCACTTTCTTTTGTCTACTCAGGGGTGTCTACTTCAAATGCCTCACTTATATGCAAAGTTGTATGATGAAATTCAGTCAAACTCTCACATGTCATTAATGCATTTCTAGGATTGCTTATAACAGTGACTATAGCTGTGTATGCCTTTAAGTATGTGATCATTATTTCTATCTAAGAAGTCAGCATTACAGTACCATACTATTCAACGTTTAATTGACAGACAAATGAAAATATAAATTTAAACGGAAATGATCAGACAGTTCGAGTTAAGTGGTGATAGGATTTCTAAAGTTTCCTTACACTCTAAAAGCCTACTTCTGGCTATAAACTGCAGAATAATAGATAAATATATTTGTTATGTACTCGTCGCTAAATTATTGTTATGTACTGGTCGAGAATTTAATAGTCCTGACGCAAGAAGGCGGAAATCAGAAGACCACTAGGTTTGCGATGATACTTCTATTTCCAAACACAAGGAGAATGCAAAAGTGGTATCACACCAAAGTGGTAAGTAAAGTCACACAAAATTGTGAGAGCGAAATATATATGACAAGGGTGTGAACAATCATTAGACAGTCTTAACATGAATGGCTAATTATAATGAAGTATCGATCCATATATACATAGCGAAATATAGCAGACATGTCAACAACCACCATATATGGATATATGTCACCAAGCAACGGACTGTCAACAAACACTCATATTATATATAATATAAGGGAATATACATTGTTAAAGGAGACAGGTTCATACAAGTGAAATGGTCACAGACTAAGAGAGCAAACAGAAAGAGAGATCAACATACACACACACACATAAATATATATATGTGGATACATATCAATATTATAATTCCATGAAGTTTTTCTCTAATTGCTCCGTTTCAAAGTAGTAGAAAGGCAGCATAGTCTGTCTTCTGGTCGTTGGAGGGAAATACTTTACTACCTCTGTAACGGTAGAAGAGGCGAGATTCGGCGAAGGGATGTTTATTTGCAATTTGATATCTCTATATGGCGAAATTATGTACACCTTATTTCCAAATCACCATTTGCACAGATCTTCCGTGTTGTGCTACTTCTGGTCTTCCTTCTTATTCAGTTTCTTTGTGTTCCTTTTACGTCTCCCGTTTATCTACGTAATGCTTTATCATTTGCTTTCTCTAACATTAAATCGATCTCTCTATTTTCTGATGTTTTCATGCATATGAACGTCTCTTTATATACTACTGATAAATTTTATCAGTAGCACACACCACACCTCTGCACCAGATAACAACGTTTCTTCGCACTCTTTTATTTGATGATCAAGATTATTATTATTTCGTATTCCTGTAACTTATTTTCACATCCAATATAAGGTCTGTAGGATTCATAGCAAAAAAGAGTCACTCACAAAACTACCTGGCTAATCGTACACTAAAAATTTGCATTTTTGTAGGTATTATTATTTTTATTATTCCCCTTAGGTCCCGAGTGGAACATAAGGTTTCAACAGCTCATCTGCATCTCATCATGTTCTCTACAGTCTGCTTTAGCTGACCCTACTATTTCCCATAAGCTTTCATCTCCTCTTCATACAATCTTCTGCATGTCACCTAACGGTATTCTCAGTGTGTCCAATCTACCTCCGTTTTCTTAGACAAATCTTTTGGGTAATGTATTGACCAAATCACCACACTACGAATCGTCATTGAACAAAGCTTGGAATGCCAGTCACCTCTCTATCTCAACTTCATCGACTTTGAAAAGGCCTTCACTAGACAGCGTCGATCGAGAGGTGATTTGGCAACTACTTCGCTACTACGGGGTCCCATCGACAATTATACATCTCATCCAACAGTTATACGACAATGCTGCATGCCAAGTAATCCACAACGGGAAACTCACGGAAGCCTTCGAAGTGAGGATGGGAGTAAGACAAGCTGGCTGTCTACTATCGCCAATGATCTTCCTGATTGCAGTAGACTGAATAATGCGACAGACAACGGGCAATGAGGAAACAGGCATAAAATGGACTCACACAAAAACTTGGAGGATCTGGACTTCGCCCGTCGATGATATATGTCTGATTTCCCACAAACTGGAAGATATGCAAGTGAAAAGCAACAAGTTGGCAGAACAAGCATCCAGAGAAGATAGGACTTCAGGTAAACATAGAGAAAACATAGGTGATGAAGATTCGCAGCCAACAGCAATAGCAGCAACAACAGACAACAATCAGCCAGCATAAATGGGAGGAACCTGAAAGAAACAACCTCCTTTACCTAGCTGGGAAGCATCGTTTTGACTACAGGAGGAACTGACGAGGATATCAAAGCCAGAATCGGAAAAACAAGACAGGCTTTCACTACTCTTAAGTCTGTGTGGAGGTCAGCAACACTCAGCATCAAAAATAAGATCCGAATTTTCAACTCCAATGTGAAGTCAGTGCTACTATACGGATCAGAGACTTGGCGCGTCATAAAGAGCACCTCAAACAAACTACAGACCTTCATCAGCAGCTGTCTTCGCTCAATACTCAAGATCAGATGGCCATACTCTGAGGAGACCATCAAGTGAGGTCACTAGACAAACCATTGCTCCAGTGGAACCCGAAAGGGAAGCGGCAAGTTGGCCGTCTGTGTGAGGGTGACTTGGAGGAGGTCATGTGAAGAGGAGATGAAAGTATTTGGGCAGACTGGGATCGGGGTGAAAAAACGTTGGCAGAAAACCGAACGCAATGGAGATGCGCTGGTGAAGCCCTATGTCCCTTTAGGAATCAAAGGATATAATAATAGGTTATTGTTTGGATTGTTTCTAGGGTTTCCGTTGCTTATGCTTTCTGGCTGACCATTTGACCTTCAGTTTGGAGCAAGGACAGTTATCTGTAAAAGTCTGCAATGTGTTCAAAATGCATTTGATGACCTTACTGCTAAGTACCTGAACCATAAAAAAAGCACTGACTAACTTGAGCTTGTATAAAATGAGACATAAATCATCCGCAGAGTCTTCTTGTTGGCTCAATGTATCCCTGTCATTCCGTAGTGTTGAAGCAGCTTCTAAATCACTTTGCAGCCAACGCTATCAGAGCCTTTTTTTTAAAGTCAGTGAAGCTGATATTGAGATTTGACTGCCCTATTCAATGATGATGTTGCGTAGTGTAAGTATATATATTGATTTACAATTTCTACAGGTGTACAATAATTAGAGTTTTCGGCTTTTCAAAGTAAATGTAATAGGTTTTTCCTCAATTTCACACTGACAGACTGGCTAATTATGAAATGTTAGCCATCAACCTGATTTTGCTATACTTACACAACTGCGTGATTCCATGGTCCCTCTGCAATCAATCAAACACGTATGTTTGTTTGACATTCTTTCCCCAGCACTACGTATCCAATGTATATATCACACCGATTATGGACGAGTAATATCATAAATGTTGTTGTCTTGTATCTGACTACTTTGTGTGTGTGTGTGTGTGTCTATTCAATTTTGTACTTCTTTCTTTCTTTCAGACTGGAGCTGCTGAACTGAGTTTCCATGTACACAAAATATCAAGTTCCTGTATAATGCATCGCTATATAGCTGTAGGAGATTCTGAAGGCGCAGTTCGTGTATATAAATTTCAAGTAAGCCAAAACAATAATTGAAAAAAATGCTAAGATTTATTGAAAGTTAACCCTAGAAATTATATATTTCGTCTAAAGAATTCTCACATGTTATATTTTCCTTCAATTCGTACTTATCATGCTATTGTGCTGTAGTGTCGTCCTTAGTGAAGACGCTTATAAAATCCGGAATCATTAAAACACCTTGAACAAAATTTTGAATATACTTGGCATGTGTGATTCGCCTTTGTTACATATAGAACAGTGTTTTCGTGACTGGTTGGTCTGCACCTACTCCTAGGTGAAAGGATATGGAGTGAAGTAGTAGAGCACGTTGTTCATCTCATTTATTTGGGAAGAGTTATGTCTGCCCCAACGGACTGATTGCTGACAAAATCTCAGCACGCCTACAAAAGGCTCGTGTGAGATTTGCCAACCTACGTCGTCTCTGGCATAGACGTGACATCAGGCTGTCGACCAAAAGATGTGTGTACTGCTCAGTAGTTCGCTTTGTATTTCTTTATGGCTATAAGATGTAGCCTATGAAAATGGAAGACATGAAAAGACTATCTGCTTTTGACCATAGATGTTCGTGTTCTGTCTTCCATGATATATGTGATGTAATAGAGTGAGTAATATTGAAGTTAGGCATCGAGTGTTAGGTAAAGAAGGTAAGTCAGTTGATGAGGTTGTGAAACTGCCTCAGTTGAGATGCCTAGAACTTGCTATGCATACCGAACTATTGCGCTCCTCATCGGGTAGTACCAGCTATCATAAGATTGGTTAGGGACACTCAAATCAAAACGTGGTATACATCCATGGAGTCTTTAACAGTCAGTTGAGGCCACTTATAGAGGTGTAGACTGTCTGTTTGGGACTTTCGGGATTCTTAAGATCCAATGGCTGGATATTGTCGGTAATATGGCTCAAAGTCATTATCAGTGGGGCAGATGCATTCACTCTTTGTAATCCCCGCAGATTCATTTTTCTATTTTACCGCTCTTTCACCATTGCATTTCCGCTCATTATCGTTCTTTCGAGTCTCTTTTCTCTCTCTTTTGTCAACCTTCGTGTTCTACATGGAATATGGTAACTTGAACCGGTGCCGTTGTATCCAAAGTCCCATGTTGAAACTCAACTTATCATTTTAATTTCAACACATGGTGAAATTTGCAGTTAAAATGTGACTATTTATAAAACACAGTATTATCTGTATGAATGATATGTCGATTGTTCTCTGGCAAAATCAGTATAAGTTGTGGTGAAGCAAATAATTTCAGTGTGCAGAATAGTACTTATTCTCAATCAATTCTTTTAATTGAATTGTTATCTTCATACGATTATAAAAAGTTCCAGTTTAGTGGATCTTATTCCAATAACGCCAACTATGTGTGAAAAACGTAAGCGTGTTGCACCTGACAATGACTTCGACATGAGGTATATGACTCTGAAGGCTATCCTAGCATCGGTACGATGTCCTGTATCCACTAAGTGTGATACAACTGAACTTTTTATGCTTTTGATTTCATCACCACTGAACCAAACTGCTATGCGTTCTCAAATCCTTTAATGAACCCGTCTAGTCGTACGCCCTATATAACATGAACCACAAGGACAGTTGAACGGTGTATTTATGTGGAAAAGCAACGATTAGATAAGATGCCTTTCAGTTTCAGAGTAAATATGGAATGGCTACTGAAGGATAAGGACAGATGTGCAGAGCAGAAAGTCTTCTTTATCACTCTAGTCAGACTTTTGGGATAGAACCTCTGTAGGGGGTATCTCTCTTGAAATGTAGTCGCAAAGATAATGGCTTTTTCTCCGCCATAGTGGGTTCATGTCTGGGACTAGTATAACCTATATTGGCGTTTATAAACGTCTCTGGATATCCGTTTTTCGCTTGGAATATTCCGGACAGCCTGAAATTCTTTCTCTATTTAGTTTCACTCCAAATACTAAGCACCTGGTCAATTTACGTTTGTATTTCACCGGCACGAAGCCGAGGAAGTGTGTATATTGAGCTTTGATCTCTAGAATCTTAATATGATTCGTCTACGGATTCGGTGACATTTACCACCTGCCTTCAGTAAGAGAAAAATCAAATGCTTAAAAAATTCAATCCTATCACAAATCGTGGCAACAGGAAGTCTCATTGATATTATTATTATTATATAAAATTCCCCGTTGATTGTTTTTATTGAACCCGAACGCTCAGTATGTTGACATTTAAGCTGTTAGTACGGCCACGTCGATGATGCTTTAAGTGTATGACGATTTTGTTTGGTGGAGGTATTACGAGTCTCCTACAGGAAGAAATAAGTCTCACACCCAACTTCCAGTCACCTTCAACGGAAGTATCTATTCGGCATTCGGAAACATTTTATTCTATACTGTGAGTGTGTTAGTTTTTGATTGATTTTTCGGAACCCACCTATGTTTAAACTGTGCTTAAATTGTTATAAAACATTGTAAACTGGTCAGTTAAAGCGATGTGTTCATTCTTTTGTCTTATCTTACTTAGCCAAATGGGTTGCCGCAAACACGACCGATAAAAGTTTATTTCATATCTGCTAGAGGAGCAGTCACTTCACTTGTATGCGCAGGAGACAGTGTAAGCTGAATTTATGTTTCTGTATTGACTTTCTTATGTTTTAAATTCACATAATTGTTTTCTAAGCACTTAACACTTATCTTGTTTTATTCATTTAAAATACAAACTTGGTACTGCCGACGAGTTCCAAACTGGGACGAAAAAGCTGGTTTTCAATGGCTCTCTAATTGACATCAATCCGTAATCAAACTTGGAAGAAATCAAATCCCTACAAACAAATTTTTGAAAAGTAATCCGTTTTTCGCTATTGACTGACTGCAGTATGGAGTTATCTGGAGTTCTAATGAGAAGTTGCGTATCAGTGAGGTTCATCCGGTCAGGAGTGAGGTGACACTGACTGGTGCCAGTCGTGCTAAAATCACGAATAGGTGGAAGTTAGAATTCATGGACCGGCCATTGAGTCGGCTCACAGTGACTGAATGGTTTGCTAGTTTTCCTTGTAGCCGGAAGGTCCTGGGTTTGGAACCTTGTGGGTGCGTACTGATGAAGAGTCCCATGCGGTCAGCTGTACAAAACTTCCAGCTGCTTTCCAATGGATTTCTAACTGATATCAATCCGTGATCAAACATGGTACAATATGGGCAGCAAGTAATACGGCACACGAAAATAATAAAAGAATAAATGAAGCAAATAGGAAAAGAGTGAATACGGGACAGAGCCAAGAAAATAATTAATTATATTTATTAAGAGCATATACATATACATAAATATCTTTCATCCCACGACTCCACGTCATATGCTGACTATCCATTCACTTTTTCTACCCAGTCCTAGGGCTAGCAAATAATAAATTGTATTGAAGTCTCTGAGATCACATTCGTAGCAAATATCCAAACCATTGAGGCTGATGGTTACTACACTCAGTGACTAGTGACCTCCACTGTGTCCAGACACACACTGCCGGACCTCTGAAATACACTATGATGCAGTCAAACAGAAGTAATTCTATAGAGACAACGATGACTAAATACTCAGGGTAGCCTCACATCTGCAAGTCGAACAAGCCAGGCTTGAGAGACGTAGAGCAAGACTGAGGTCACTGGAGCATTGCGAACTCGACCTTTGGCAGCCAAGCTGATAATACTAGAGGTGGCTTGAATTGGTATATTCCACACTAGCTCTCACTATACTGCTAGAGGTCTCGTTCATTACACCTCTGCTAGGACTCACATAACTACGTAGATACACGAACTTGTCGACAAATTCAAACGGTTCGCTTGCGAGGTATAGTCTCCTGCTAATCGTGTAACAGTACTTTGCAATTAGATGGAGGAAAGCACATATCATGCTCACAAACTCTGATCACCTAATGATTGAATGCTATTCGGGCGACTTGCACGTTGTCACACAGTAAGACGATATCGTCTTGCATACTCAAGGTCGAAAAGTCTTTCTCCTTAAGGCAGATCTACACCACCGGCATACAAAGTCCTTCAGAGCTGACTCCCGAATGTAATCGATGGCAGAGTTAAAGAGAAATGGAGAGAGTCTACCATAGGAGGTGTTTCTATATAAGTCCTTTAGGATGTTAACAAACTTCTCAGAAACACCTCTCCGTAACTTACAGTTCCAGAGAACAGTTGTCTAACGAATCGAAGGTAGCTATAATATGAAGAAACACAACTACTGTTGGCCTGCGATGCGTACAATTTTATAGAAACTGACCAAAGGTCGACACATGGTCAATACATCGGTGACCTGAACCAAACGTAGACCGCTCTTTTTGAATCGATTTCTCACGAGTTTTACATAGCCTGCCATTCAAAACAGTGTCCAATAATTAAGAAGCAACAGCTAACAGGCTAGTACACCTGTGTTTGTCACATGCGTTTCGTATACCCTTTTTAAAGATATACACGATAATAGCTTCATTCCACATTCTAAACATTCTAAATTTCCAATACTTTTTTGAACAATCCAGTCAGTTCCCTGACTAGATTCTCATCATCACTTTTAAAAAGATCCTGGGGTAAATCGTCTGGGCAGGATACCCTATGTTGCTTGAGTACTTGGAGCTGCTTTCGAAAATCTCCTTCGCCTGAAGGACCTTGGAGCACTGTAATTGACGATGTTGGATACTGACTGTGTTGGCCAAATAAACTCTTTCCCCAAATGCTCTGCCTGGGTTCCCTGCGTCTCCTTAGTTTGCTAGTTGAAGTACTATCTGTTTCACAGACCGTTTTGATGACACTTCTTCCTGCGGGTGGCTCAGATAAGCTGGAACCACTTCCTGCCATAACCAGATGCAGCTGCTGATTGCATGTCACACACACACATTCTGACGACTAGGCTACATGGTCTTTACCTAAGCACTGTTTGATTTTCAGTGTTAGTGCCTTGCGCGTTCTATTACACTTACTGTGTGCTGGGATTGGCAGATGAACATTGCATAGAACTCGCGGAAACTCAATGCTTTTTAGAGAGAAGTTCTTTTAATTTCCGATTTTCATGGCGTCAGCCAGTGTTCGTCAGTACTCTCTGAAAGACTAGCTAGCATTTACTGTAGCTCTATTTGATACTTAACAGAGGTAGCAGATGCCACTAGTCTGCTTACAACAACCTGTTAAAGACAACCATTATGACTGCCGAAACCACCAAATCGCTGGATAAACTTGACACGTTAAAGCATTATCAAAATCCATACAAGCACTCCTGGAGGAATGAGAGTCTTCTCTGCGTCCATGTCGTTGATACCTGATAACAATAAGATCTATTTTATTCCAGGCCTGAATAGTAGAGGGAGGGCGCCAGGTAACACCACAGAGATATCTGTGCTGGTTAGATATAGGTTGTGATCTTCGCAAAACTGCAGAAAACGATCTCTATTACCTGTCCCCAGCTGACTAGTCCCTGTTGGCCACCTAAACAACTCTCTTCTGAGCCCGGATGCCTGACTTGTTCATTCAACTCCTCAGATGGTAACATAAAGCGTTTGACGCTCATGCATCAGGGACTCATTCATCCTTAATTGCATCTAGGCTATAATTCTTGGGTGTGTTAAACATAAATGACGAAAAGACTATGCTTCTCTTACTGGTTGCTTCTTATATTGACAAAACTTTCTAGTCTCACAGCGTTTAAACGACTGTTAGTGGGTGTCCAGTCAACTGATGTTTCTGGCTCTTGTGCCAAATATGACACTGGCACCAACTAACCTGGATGCCGATGCAACGGGGTCCCCAGATAAATGCATGTGGTAAACGCTAATCGAACTTGCAGATGGAGAAAATATTCGAAATTCTTCTCTGGCTTTTTGTATACATATACATACTTTTGGATAAACCTGTCTTTTTCCAATTTCTTTGCTTTGTTTAGTTAATCGCTGGAAGTTTGGACGGATCGGTTACCGTTATCTTGGTTAATGAACCAGCCTCAGATTATACATGTCTTGTAAGTAGATTCTGATTTTTTCTGATCATCGCAAAATTATAGCATCAAGTTACAAACTTCGTTTGTAGAGATTGAAAATTCTACAAATTGCATCTGTTTAGCCCTAAAAGTTGTACTACGGTATTTATTTTTTCCCTTGTCTAGTTACCCGTATTACAGCTGAGACTTAGTAAAAAATGTCACCAACTAAAAAGATTTACTTCGATGAAGAAAGAAAGAAAGACCAGATTTACAGTTTAAAACGATATTGTTCAGCATAAAGTCAATTATTCATCAGAATAAGTGGATTCTAAAACTGGTACTCATAGAAATGATATTGATGGATTAGAACCGTATATATGCCTGTAGCCATTCCCTATTAAAAAATGGCGCCTGTTTTTACAGCATATTACAGGAACATACACTGTATAATTCACTTTTATTATGCACACGTTATATCCTGTAAATATACTTTTTGCACTGAATTGCCACATTTTGCTCTAGAACATGATTGGTTGGCTTAAGGTCATTTTTCCTGTGATGTCTATTCTTTGCCGTTGCCTAAGGAAATTAAAATACTAGATTTTTATTTTTCTAAAGCAAATTTAGAAATATTTATGTTATCGTTTTTTTTTAAATTTAAAACTTCATGTTTGCCTAAAGTATGGACGAAAATGTGGTGAAAATTGTGGACTGGGATTTATGGATCGTCGTGACCTACTTCATCATGTGCTCAATGAACACCTTCATTTTGGAAATAAGAAAACAATAATGTGTGGATGGGGTGCAGGTCGTTGTAGAGTACGGTTCACAGAAACACAAACTATCAGGGTAAGTGTATACTGCTGTGTGCATATATGTTTTGCTGTTGTTATTGCAACCAGAGCTCATTCGATACTCTTTTCTATCTTCTTTCACGGGTCCCAGCAGTTTGTATATGGCTTATTGAACAGATTGTCTATACTGCTTCGTTTAAACAAAACGGTTTTAGGAATATCTAATAGGTAACTCGTAGTACTCTTTACAACTTTTAAGATTTCGTTCATCAGGGAGATAAAAGGTTTATTATTAAAACATTCAACTTGGGGAACAAAACTACACCAAAAACTCCCCAACTAAATGTACTTTGAGTGAATTTGTAGACAGTGGAATTCAGGATGCGTATTTCGTCCTATCTGGGACTCGTCATATGGATGTACCTGCATTCTCCAGTGAGTGGTGGTGTTCCCATTGTGACTTGAACCCAGTTTCAAATGCCAAAGTGTTGTCCACTAGACCACTTAGGCCACCTATTGTGCGACAGCTATGAGCAACTAGTGTGGTCCCGGAAACTGAATTCACTACTTTTCTTTTGTCATTCTCATAATAGATTTTATTTTATTGTAACACAAACTTCGTACAATATAGGAACACCGAGAGATGTACCATATAAAATATCATAATTTGTGCGCTGGTCGGGATACTATCCGGACTCCCAGACCGGAGAAGGTAGTTACTTTAAGGGGCCACCCGACCAAGCTGTTGACTTGAAGTCGGATCCACAAGACAGTGGAGCGGCGTCAGGAGCTACGTTCCCATGGTTACCGGTGATCACACTCACAAGAGAAGTCAGTCACAGTTTTCATATTTGAATGCTTACCGACAAGGCTTGTTTCATGATCGTCCAAATCTAAATAGTGTTATGTCATAATAGGTGTCTTCTAAATTGAGGTCACTGTCGTCTAAAAAGACTACTGCTAACTGACAAACCAGCATAAATGATGAGCGTCTTTTCCCGTGATAAGCAAATTACTAGGTCATCAGACAGAAATACTTGTATCATCCACATTTTGCAATTCATGCTTCTACATTAAGGTCAGAGAATTTGGATTAATTTCAACTGTAAGATTTCATTATGAACCAACATGACAACCAGGGAACACTGGACAGCTGCTTCGCCCTAGTTTAAGACTCTTCAGCATAATCTCAGTATCTATCTCCACTTTATTGATGGCTACTGGGTAGGTGTCCTGAAACTATAGAGAGAAGTCGTGGCCACTATGTCAAGGTGAAGTAGAGGGTTGACAATAGCGCTATCGCGAAATGAAAGAAGGTAGAATTGCGACTCGAGTGGCTGAATGTTCAATGAACTTGACCCCGGGTTCGATTCCAAATGCAACTTTGGGTGCACCATGCTGAAGAGCCGCGAACAAGGGGGGAGGGACATCTGTTTAATGCTCCTTAGTTTTCAATAATCTCCGGCTGAGGAAATCTAACAATTGAAGTGGACATATTTGATGATTTCCAGATATGTGCAGTCATCATCATTGTTTTTCTGTTCACAGTAATATTTTGAGTATACTTAATGTTAATGAATCTGCTTTTAATCCCCTTAATTTTCTTTCGTTTTCTTTCTTTTTTACAGTCTATCAGTGATCATCTATTGACCCATATACCTGATTGATTGATCGGTTGTAAAGAAGAATGAACAGACACTGCCTCTATTGTAAAATAGAAATTCAGATTATGTATATTGTGCATTAAAATATGTACAGAATAAGTAAATAAATATTCATTTTCTTTTTATATATAATGAATAGTGATTTAACGATGTTGATGTATATTCCTACCAAGTGAAATATATAGAATAACTTTTTTACATTGTGATCCATTCAGCCTTTCTTTATTTCTTTTCTCTTCTATTTATCTTCACTGTCCAAAGTTTGCCATGCGTGATAGGATATCTTGTTCAAAGGTATCAAAGTTAGACTAAAAAAGAAAATAATAATAGTAATAGATAAAAGTATACATCACAGTAAAAATAATAATAATCATATATGCAGAGAAAGATTACAACTTCTTAATCACACACGCGAACTATCAGTACTTTACTTTGATTGAACACTAAGGGTAGTAACTAATGTCATGAGTCCTTGTCTAGTCAATCAAGTTTGCAATGTGATCATCATGCTAGATAGATGGCTCGCCATCACAGTGCACTATGAATTGTTTTTAGTAGATGGTTGGAGGTAACGTCTCTGACTGCAGCACTCACTAGGTGACACGGGTTCAAATCTCAGAAAGAACATGAGTTCCCTCAAGAGCGTAGATACGCCTTCCTGACACGAGTGGTAACAAGCATGTAAAACCTAACCTAGATCCAAGGCTTCTTTTCGATTGCCTCCAACCATCTAATAGCAACAATTCACTGTTATTACTTTGTCTGGCTAACTGACTTTGCACAAAAGTGCAGTAGTCCAAATTCCAGCACTCTAATATATACCACACAGAGGTAGAGGACAAAAAACAACTTCAAAGAACTATGATCAGCAGAAATGTACGGGAGAAAAAATAATCACATGGACAAATATGAAGGCTTAATGCACCTTAACGATTACAAACAGCAAATGCATGATTTTAAGGAATACCACCAACAGTCTAAAGCCATTCGACTTAAGCATTTCGATGACCTCAACCTAACAGTCTACGCCCCTCCTTTCACACGCAGCTTAAACCACCGGTCAGAGACTGATGCCCCATTTTGCTTTGATATCACCACTATCCCTTTATCCTATGCCAGCTAACATTGTTGGATAAGAAAGACGTTGGCTTGGCATGCGTCACACGTGTCATAGTTTGACAATCTTATCAGTTAATTTACCCTCGTTACCTACCGTCCTACGCTTAATCTCAACATATAGAGTACAAGCATCTGTAGTCAAAGGAAACTAACGCCTCCAGGCTTTCTACATTAAGTGGCTGTCTCAGCCATAAAGATGGACAGAGCAAACTGCTGCACAGTAATCACGCTATATGACCAATAGCTGGATATCAGGTCTATGCTAACGATGTGCGTCGGTGGCACAGTGGTTAGGACTCTCGCCGACCATGCACATGGTCCGAGGTTCGATCCCCTGCCGACGCACACCTGGTATCTATGGTTGGTCTGCGAAATTTGGGCTACCGATATCCATGCTGAAAATTCCATACTTGTACCAAAAATACAGTGTGGAATTAAGCTGTAAATCGAGAAAATAAATAATAATGACTTAAGTTGATAGGCGTCACGCCAGGCTTTTCTCTATGTGCTTTAATTACTTTGTAAACGTATTGTAATTCAAAAGGTTAGTAAACACATGTTTGGATCACCATCTAGGACATAATAAAGAGACTTTACAGTCTATTCTTTGGCAGTTGTAACCTTAGATCAAGAGAATCGTTTTTATTCACTTCAAAATTACTATCTCACGTTTGAAACCAGTGTGATTCCCGCGAAACTACGGCATAAGTATGTATCAAACCCCCATAGGCTTTTGATTGTCGGTATCTGAATGTTTATGTTGGTTTTTCATGTAGATGACTAACCGGATATCGCTCAAATGAATTTGTAAAGCTATACAAAGCCGCATTTAACGTAATCTTGAATTCCTCTACCAAACCTGACTAGTGAGTAAAATGAGGCTGGGACAATAGTTCTCCAATTGTTGGAAGAAATGTCACTAAATAGTTGACTAATTCCTTCAGTGAAAATGCATCGGTAAAGACATGTAGTGTAATGACAGAAGACAAGGGCCAAACAACAGATCGTTTATTGAGAAGATCAACAGATATTTATAGATTTTTATGTACATTGTTATTGTTAACAGAGGAACAACGTCTTTGATTGGTTGTTTTCTTGCTGAAGGTTATTCTGTCATCTCTTTGTTGCCGTTTCTTAGATAGTCCAGTGATATATCTGCGAATCGTATCCGCCCATACTAAGTCTGCTGTGATTGGTTGTAGAGTTCCCCAAGGCTATGCTTTGTTATTGTTTTATCTCGTGATCCCCATTCGGGACGTAAACATTGACGTAAATTGGTGTCTACAATTTTGGCTAGCAGACAGCTCTCACTAAAGTAGTTGTACACTCTGAGTGTTCGTTTTGATTACTTTTCTTAAATGCAACTGTTTCTTCCAGTAGACTATAAAACGTAGCAAGAGTTGGTTTTTTCTTGAAACACTAATTTTTCCCACTTACGTTTCGAGCGGAACATGGGGCTTCAAGCTAGAACTTTGAAGTTTCAGTAGCAGATGGCTTTTTTATTTTCACGGGGCGGGGTTACTAGCTTCACGCATAACCTTCCCTTTTTACGAGCCTTACTATCGGCTTAGCGAGGTGTAGAAGTGCGTCGCCTGAAAATTGATCTCCCGACCACGAAAGTGGTTGGCAAGTGTTCTACCACTGAGCCACCGACGTACTGATATTCAGGCATTTCATTTCGTCCGCATCTTAAGAAAGAAGTAGCACGGTAGAAATTGTGGGATTCACAAGGACATCGTTTTAAGCGGTAATATATTTATTAATATTAAATACGCAAACATTGGAATGATAACACTGGAACATACCTTTGTACGAGGAATTGGTTCACTCACTGGGATGTTTCTTTTAGGTTCTTCATGCCTAACTTTGTTGAGTCATTGTTTCCATTTGTAGTAGTTGTATTACCACTTGATAACCATGACAATTGCAAAGGTAAATTTGGAAGGCCAACTGCTCCTTGTTCTGATGCTTTTATTGCTTCTTCCTGTAATAGAAAACAACAACAGTTTAAAATGTATTAATAATTTTGGCAGATTAATTGACCAGCTAAAACAAATTGCTGCAGAATCCAGTCGATCGCATTTTTCGTAAATGACGAATAATTGAGAGTTCAGTACACTCATTATTTTCTTACATATTGCTGCTTTTGTTGAATCTATCCTCACAACATAAAACCAACTCATACAAAAATTGTTGCTGGATGACTGAACCCTCTCGCAATAACACAACGAAATGGGCCATCTTACTGTCTGATAAACCATACTAATGCTGATTCTTTTATAATACATGAAACAGTAATTTCAAATTGTTGGTAACCATCTTAAACTCATTGATGCAGGTCAGTACCATAAGTTATACTAAGTACACACGAAAATGACGTCTTCTTGCTGTGTAAAACGCCGAAAAATCCCTAACCACATGTTAGCTAGTCTGACAATGCATATCAGAATCACATTTCCATAGCCTGGTAGCCTATAAATCGGCATTTTGGACATAAGACTGCTATAGGGTCTCAAAATTCCGAAAACCTAATGAGCGAAAAGCATCGGTGATTCAGCGGTAGGGCGCTCACTAACCACGAACGTGATCCTAGGCCGTCGCACTCCTAAACCTCGCTAAGCCGGTAAAGTGTGGCTAGCAACCCCACGCCGTGAAAATAAAACCACTGCTACCGAAACATCGAAGTTCTAGCTTGAAGCCCTTTGTTCCAACGGGAATATAAAGGCAAAAAAGAGCAATAAATGTAGGAGTGTCCATCGTCTTATCCCTAAGTACGAAAAAACAGTATCTGTCTAGTTCTTCAAATCACGAAATATGCCCGTTTATATAGGAAAAAAGTAAGTTTTCTTCAGCGAAGAAATACTTTTCTTTACGACTTTATTTGCAAGTTGTACAGTTGTATTAATATTACGGAAATAGGCGTTAAGTGGCATCAAAACTTTCCTGGTCAATATGCATAGGATAACAATAAAGACAATTAACATGATTTTGAACAAGGTAGACTTGGAGTGGACGAATTACAAAATTAATAATCATCATAATACTTTATTCCAAAAACAGTACTTGTGATACAGAATGGAATTTTCAGCATTAATCACAATATTGCATCTAATTTCCTCAAATTATAAATTAAATTAATCACACAGAAAATCTTCCACATTTACAATACGGGTAATGTCAGAAACATGCAGCATATAAAATGGAAATAATAATAATGATAACAGCTAAGGCAATAATAATAATAATACAAGTGAAAAATTGCCGTTGGGCTTGTTACACACAGTATTGTCAATGCAGTATAGAAATCCTAGCATGTTTAAAAATATTGAATATAACGTTCTCTTTACACGATATGGTGAGGGGAAAAACAAAGATTACAGCAGTCATAGAGATAACCTGGTGCTTGCAACTGTGAGAGTAAAACAAACAGAGAAGCAACAGGACCATAAATATAATAGAAATAATAAAAGTAAAACTTGATAGTATATAAGGATGGATGGAGGATATTGTTTATTTACTAGATGAAAAAAGGTTAGTTAATTGTTGCCTGACGCTATTTTCATCATATAAAATACGTGCCAAGTATAGTATCATAGAATTTCCATACTTAGACGTGCGAGCATACAGTTTTCTGAAGTTACTTCTTGTTCTACCTGAGGAGATGCAAGGTGAAAGCTGAGGGTAAAGTGGATGTTCCAAGTCAGACAAAATCCCTCTATCAAAGTCGTTAAATAGGTGAATTGATATTAGGAGTTTTAAGGCAGCTCAACTGATATTAAAAATTAATTATAATAACGACGGGGAGGTAAGGTGGAGCGGAATGAATTTGACTGATATTACATATAATAAAAGAACATGATTATGACTAAGGTAAAGCAAGGCGGTTTCGAATAAATGGTTTAAGTCTAAGTTTATATACAGCTACCGCTTCGGCTCTGTATGAGTGGAGAGAGACAGACGGGAAACCTAGAGAATGACTGAATTTAGCCCTGTAGATAACTTAAAG